CAAAGTAGCAAAAATGATAATAATTTGACACTATTGAATTCCAAACTGACGAATCAAAAGATAACACTGAGGAATGGTTAACTGCATTCCAAGAGCCCAATTCTACCATAAACGCTTTGCTAACACTTTGTTCAAAATTTAATTTTCCATACTTGGGTGAATGTAAAGATATAAACTCGCAATCATTCATAAGTTTGCATATTTTCTTTATGTAAATGGTCATATAAATAAAGTCATTTATTAGAAACACATCATCTTCTAGGAAAGTAAACATTCCTGTGTGATGTTTAACAATTAGTAAATTGTCAAAAACTTTATTCATAGTCCACCACCAGAAATGTTTCAGTTGGCTTTCTTTGGGATCTCTAAATCGCCCGTTTATGTCTGGTGTACGTATACCTGTACAGTTCATGGTTTTTGATGCCATTTCATTTAGAGAATGAGGACAGTCACCTTTTGTAAAACCTGGAAATTCATTTGGGTACACCTGTATTGTATACGGATAAAATATCTGTAAAACACGGGTAAAATTTATAATTTGCACTAAATTATTAACATTCTCATCAAATCTAGAATGAGAAAATATGACCAGTGCATCCTCTATGCCTGTTAGATGTGATAAGGAAACTAAAAGATATTTCAAGGTTGTTCTGAATTCATCAACAAATACAACAAAAACAGGAGCTTCACGTTTCAAAGGTCCAAAATAATCCAAGTTCAGTATTCGTTCCTCAAAATTATATCTAGATATTAACTGTTTAATTGTTTTGATCTCAAGGGGTATCAAATTATACTGCGGATAGAATTCCAAATATTTTAAAGCTGTAATTGATTTCTTTTCGCGCACTTCATTGCGTTGAACTGTCTTTATTATGAGAACTAACGCAATCACGAAAAGCAATGTTATAAACATAACATTACGGACTTTGGCTAAAATTTTATATTTTCTTCTCTTAAGTTTCATTATTTTTAATAAGGTACCTAAACTTAATACAATGTATTACAAAAATTATGTCGTCGTCAAGGAAAACTTCTGTCTGATCATTGACAGATGTCACGTATGTAAATATACCTATTTCTAATACGAAAGTTAAGTAGGTAAAACTTGATTGTCTATGTATAAGTGTGGGAGAGCCGCGTACCGATGGGCCGGCTCGGCCAGAGTAATACCACGGCCTCACAGAAAACCGAGGTGAAACAAGGCTTGCGTTGTGTTTCGTCGTATGAGTGAGGATACTGGAAGTCCTCATATTATTATAATAAAGAATTTCTGTGGGAGGCCCAATTACCCTTCTCCTCAATCTCCCTAATTCCTGAATCCCCAACAATCCTCAAATTCCTAATCCTCAAAAGGCCGGTAACGCATTCGTAACGCCTCTAGTTCCGGGTGTCCATGGGCGGCGCCGATTGCTCACCATCATCAGGTACCGTACGCTCGTTTACCGCCTATAACATAAAAAAAATAATTCGCTCCCTAAAATTACATAAGATTAATGCTAGAAACTTTAAGTTGGTACCTAAAATGAAAATGTCTCCTACGACGACTCTTCCTAATAGGCAGTAATAAATTAAAGGCCATTTATCGGAATGAAATCGCTTACATAGGTACCTAATGTTAAGTGATACTTCATGCATAGTACAATGACTTATTGCCGAGCCATTGTCTACTTATTTACATTTAGATGGTACAAAAACCAAACAAAAAGATCTAAAAAAATTAAATAGATCTCTGATTTTACATACATAAAGACTTACTTTCATATCACACCCAAACCCAGAACAATTTATACCTACGTAGCTACATTGTGTGTCTAATCAGTGTGGGAATCGAATCCACGGCGCACGCGTTGCTCAGCCACTGTTCACTCAGTTACCAGCCACTATGCATTTAGTATCGTCATAATATATAATCTGACGCTGTAGTCCTGTTACGAACACAGAATGAAAACTGAAATAACACCTGTATACAGACGGGGCACAGTAGGGCTGATCCCTGAGTGGAGCCGTGGAAGACTTCAAGGGTTACCAGGGCTCCAGCTCGAAGCAGGAATAGGAACAGAATGGTTTTAGTAAGTAAAAGTCTGACATTTCCTCTCGACTCATTCAGATAGACTTTGTATGATTTTGTACCTTTAAAAAAACACCTGTGTACCATGTTTATATGGGACTCATAATATAACCAGTACAAAGGCAATCCAAAGTTTGCTTTTCTATGATATACGAAGCCAACGAACAGGTGATCCGCATCTGATAATATGCGATCAGCACCTCAAATTAACAAATTCGTTGCAGGGTTTTTAAGGAGGGGGTAAATTTAAAAAAAAAACATCTTACTATTCTTATAATATGCAAACATTTGTAAGTGTGTGTGTGTATGTTTATAACTGTTACTTTTCTAATATTATGTCACGTCATATCCTATCATTGTGGGAAAGACTGTCTGTCTGACTGTGACTGAAAGTCTGTTTTGAACTTTTTCCAAGATAAGTGACGTTGAAGAGATTTAAAAAGGAATTACAAGTACCTATGTGTTGGAGACAATACTATTCTGTAGATATAGGTACCTAGATAATATTGGGATTATTATGTAAGTGTATATTTACCTAATTACGTGTACGCTACGTTCGTTCCTTACACTGAACACAAATGCAAACTTCAAGACATGCCATAACGTCACGCCTTTTAATCCCTGATGGGGTAAGTTATGATGCACAGTAGGTAGGTAGTGTACTTAGAGAGATATACATACCATAAACTAACGCCCATTTTTTACAAATTACTTTGCGAGTTACGTGCTACATGTAATAGAGGGCGAGTCCGTCAGCTTACTTTTTTTACCGTTACCGTACCCTGCTAGCCTGTACTGTAACTCTCAATTTGATTCGAAGTGAGCTCGATCGCATTCTCGCCCGTCATTGGTCCGCCCAACGCGTGGCCTGCCACCTGATTACCTATAATCACTTCATTACCTGTAATCCTGTAAATTTGGAAGAATATGTATAGCGTATAGGTAAGTATTCACTTATAGGTATAAATGTTAGAAAACAGAAATGTTTTACATGTGGTTTTTTTACATAACCTTCGAAACAGTGACTTAGTTTAGGTAGGTAGTCCTAGTTGATTTATGTGCAACATTAACCCTATTGCGCATGTCGCGGAGAACCTAACGGGTAACCGGGGCTCCGGCTCGACGTGCAGGAGAAGAAACAGGGTGGTTTTTAGTCAGTAAGAGCCTCTATTACTGTTTATTGTTTTTTAATTTATATTTTATTATTGTGATATGCTTTATTTTTTCTTTTATATCTTTATTTTGTCATGTGATTTGTAGCTACATACGATGTTTGTTTTGATATCTGTACATGTTAATGTAACTGGTGTAAACCGTATTAACATAAAATAAATAAATAAATAAATAAATAAATAGACACTCCCTCCCGCCTCACCCAGACGGGAGCAGTAATTAGATGATTTTCCCCCCTTTAAAAAAAAAACCTATTGTGCATAAATCGACTACACAGTTGTCAACGTATGAAAATTAAAAAAATATAGGTATACGTATTTTTATTTTGTCATATTACAAAACAATACTTAAACATAACAAACAATTTAAGTTTAGGAGTACCTTGCCCTATAAAATGTAATAAAACGGACGTCACACGACAATTCAAATCAATCAATATAATCATCGAAAGTATTTAAATCTGTAAAAACGGAAAAAATATGTGTCTAATGTTTCAAATTTAAATAAATCTAACAGACGGACATTATAATAAAATTAGGAAAATATACCAAAAAATATACAACTGAAAGTTCTACGGAAGTGACAAAGAAATACATCACCATCGTCTATGTAAATGTAAAAAAAAATTAGGATTGCCGGACTTTACATTTGCAAAGAAAAAAAAATCAGTAACTTATGAAAATTATTTTATTTCACTTTGACAAAGTAGAAAGTCTACAACATGTACATGTAAATTTTATAATTATGTAAGACTGATTGAATAAACTTATTTCATATTTTAAGAAATACCCCATAAATACTCATATTCTAAAATTACCTCGACGTCGCTGTACAAGTTTCTCGAAAAGTACACCTTTCATAACCTTTCTACTCAATGTTGTAAACTCTTACATCTATTTACCTAGAAGACTTGTTTATGATACATATTATTTGTATTTATTCTGGTGCCAATTTCCATTACCTTGAACATAAGTAGGTACATTTAAAATTTTACCGCAAATCACTATCAATGTAAATTAATTTAAGAGTCTAAATTTTCTAAACCCGTGTTCCGAGGTGTCTTAGAATCATAAATATCAATTTAATTTCGATATAATCCTTATTTAATCGATTCTATTAATTTAATACTGTTTATAAATATATAAAATTATTCTATTCTAATAAGAAACCCACAAACAAACTAATAAGCAAAACTAATAAACCAAAATTTTAATAAAAAGTACTCAAAATAAAAACAAAAACTAACAATGAAACGTGACGGCATTAATATATTTCTTATTCAATTTATTAACAATAATAATTCCATATTTATCTTTCTATGTCCACACGAACACGCTTTACCGGCTACGTATCACAACACATTTTGTAAATGCCGCCTTTTTACCGTCATATTGGCAACTACACACTACCAACGTAAGCCGAAACAACATTACATGAATTTTGATTACTAGAATCAAAACAGACGCCCTCAGGAGACCCAGGTAAATTCCAAATATTCTTTTATATTTTTATATGAATAATTACAGTGATTTTGTAATGCATTTGATGTAAAGCGTCAGTATAAACAGTTAATCAATTGCTCAACTGTATACTGTATCCGGCTGCTTTATTTCGCCACCAGGCGGCGCCTCTAGTACGACGTCACTCGTGTATCTATAGTTTCCTTCTGTTTTGAAACCCAAGCTTAGTGATTTAGTTCCTTGAGAAATATTAAATACGTGAAAAGTGTTATAAACTGGAAATCAACAGGCTCCCAAAGATGGAAAAGAGGGTCGCTTTGGAATTAAGGGGAAGAAATCCTTCACAGGTAAACGAAATCTATTTTTCGATTATTGGAATGTTTTGTCGATACGTATTTCATGAAGTATCTAAATGTAATACTTTATAATTGAGATTATTGCCAGTAAATCAGTATAATCTACAGCTTGTATCGTAGATGCTACCAGTAAAATGTAAATCCACTTCCTAATTAAAGATGTGGCATTATTATGTATAGAAATTAGCCATTGCCGATTGTTACGTTTCATTCATGTGCACATAATTATTTAACATTCTAATGAGGTATTTGACCAAGCACTTATTTTCTACACTCCACTAGATATAATAGTAAACGATTAACTAGCCTATCCAGATTTTACAATCAGATAAAGCATTCCTATTGTAAATATTCATATATTGAGGTTAAGTGTCGAAACTTATGGATCTGAGACGTGTTATATACTATTGATGGCTAATTGCATGACCGATAGTCAAATTACCATCAAATTGTAAATATTATTTTACTTTCCTGTAATCGTTAGGTAATATTTATCTCAAAAACTTGTGGTTTGAAAAGAGGGCTCATTGATTAATGTGTTGTCAATGTCAATGGTATTTTACGAAATGTGCAAGTTTATACGCGTATTGCATATGAAATAGATATATATATGAATTATATTGTTCTCCACAAGTACAGGTAAACCTTTATATCATTGGATATGTCTGTAACATACTGCTCAAAGTATAAACTTTACTGTACTGTTAAACTACTACATGATATAATTTCGCGCCCTTTCACCTGAGTAGGCATAACTTCCAGGAAACACTAAAAACGTTTGCTATATATGTTAAAGTACTTTTGGGCTTGTCACAGGTCATGTTTTTGTTACTAAGTGGTCTATTTACACTTAAAACTGCAGACATTATTATTGACGCACGCCTTACCAATATAGCGGCCATTTTTATTGCGTCGCGATGATTCGTGTCATCCGCCATTGCAAAGTAAAAACGATCTCAATTTTTATCGCAACTACAACACCGCAAGTACATATCGTTATATAAACTATGTAACGAACACATCCCTTTCATGTTTTAATGAATATTTCCCCGAAATAATCACTCATATCGTGGATTTTACAAACTACGCCTGTGTCTTTGACAACTAACACCATTTTGACGTTTTGGTTGACTTGACTTTGCTTTCAACAAATACTGAACAAGCCAGTATCAATACTTATTATATCAATTCCTTCGTATGATTCTTCTATAAGGTTTAATGGAGTTCTAAAAAATATGAATGATTTTTCAGCATAACTACTCTTTCATTTGTATTCTCCTCTACTTACGCCGAAAGTGTTTGATGCACTGAATAACCTTGTAATAATTCATACAGATAGGGTACTTTGTACGAGTACCGCTGTTGGTATGTATGTATAGATAGATAGAATGCGTACAAAATCTATAATTTCTAGATAATTATGCTATATAAGCAGTGTATTTAAAATTTATCTCTAGTTCATCTTTTTTCTTATTAGGTTACCTACCCTTTTTTAAAATTTAAATTAAAAGTAATGTAGTAAGTAATATTACTTACCTACTATGTTAATTCCTAAATACCATACTATAAATACTATCAAAGTTGGTACCTCCCATATCTTTTAATAAATATTCTATATAAAATTAAACATATTTATTTCATTACAGGTAAAGGAACTAAACCTGGACAATTGCAGGAGTACCAGCATAGTTGCGTTAACAGATGAATACATTAACCTTGAAAATCTCAGTCTCAACAATGTTGGTCTCACCTCACTTAAAGGTTTTCCAAAACTACCCAAGCTCAGGAAACTCGAGCTCTCTGACAACAGAATATCCAATGGGCTGAACTTCCTAAATGGCTGCAAAAAGCTAACACATCTCAACTTATCAGGAAACAAAATAAAAGATTTAGACACTTTGAAGCCTTTGGAGGAGTTTGAATACTTAAAGAACCTTGATTTGTTCAACAATGAAGTTACTAGCATTGAGGAATATAGGAGTAAAGTGTTTGCACTACATCCATCTTTAAAATATTTAGATGGGTAAGTTATTTTTATTTATTTTCCCAAATATATCGATGAGTTCTGTGATCTCAATGGTGTTAATTCAAGAATGATCCATTTGACGATAATTACATTCATAATTCTATAAATGCAAACAAATTATGTAGTCATACTAACTTACAATTTGTATTTTCAGATTTGACAAAGAAGACAGAGAAGTTGAGGACAGTGATGCGGAGGAAGAGGATGAAATGAATGGAAATAATGATAGTGAAGATGGTTGGTATAATGTTCATTATTTGTACATATTACTGTTATGTCTACTCCATTGTAAAAATAAAAAATTGATATTAACCCTTTAAGTACCATCATTATAGACACAATTAAAGAACAATAGGTGTGCGAACACCGGTGTCCTCAGTTTTACAGATTTTGGATAGGGACTGACCGTAAATCGTTTTTTCTGTCAATTAAGCAAACCAGGTCACTAACAACTCTATATTAACATTATGATTGCGAAAGCTTGTGTGTATGTTTGTTACTCAATCACTCAAAACGACTGGAGGGATTGGAATCTTTGGATGAGGGATAGATTATGGTCTGGAATAACACATAAGGTCCTTTTTATCCTACGGGAAAGCAGGTAAAGCCACAGACAGAGGCTAGTCGAATAGATTTAGTGTTTTAATTATACAGAAGCATTGTCATTAAATATCACAAACATTTATATTTCCAATTGGGTAGTTTCGTAAGTTATAATTATAAATAAATTGTTTCGACTTTTCAATGCAATACATAATTTAAAAAATAATCATACCCTCATCTATTGACTTGACGATTCACCTGCTTTTGGATTTTTTATCGCTAATTTTAAGGAAATAAGTATGCTATTTGATGCAGAGATATGATGACGTCACAGGTTGCGATCCAATACAAAATTCATAGAAAAGTATCATTTTAGACATTTCAATAAAAGTATTGAATTTGACTAACCGTCAAAGATGGGTCAAAATCCAATTGAATAACCTGTTCAATAAAAATTTTCATATTAGACTCCATGACTACCCACCAGTGTCAGCCATATTCATTTGTAAAGATATAACAATGAATAATAATCAACCTAAATACCTTGTCTTATCAGACAAGCTTAAAAAACAGGTATTGAAAGGCATAACTGCATTACAGATTTGGACATAGATTTGGGTCCGTTGGTGATAAATGATGATAGCATATCCGAAATTCCTGAAGAGGAGAGAACCTCTCTGCCAATGATATTATACACTGTTTATGGTCTGCTATTCCACATGGGTTTCCTTTTAAAGAGTAAGCATCAATATTTTTTGTCAGTGATGCTTATGTAATATAATGTCTGTCCATGTAAGACTGCAGCTACTCATAAAATTGGTTTGGTTTTTCCTTGTACTGAGTAAATGGTTGTAAAACATAATATTGATGTTGGTAATTCTATTTGTTTCAGGTTCAGAGGTTGAGGAAGAAGAGGAAGATGATGAGGATGTTTCTCTTAGTGCAGTCTATAATGATAATCTTGGTAAATAGAATTATGTATTATATCAATTTATCATTGAAAATCTCTAGCACTTGCAATACACTAGCGAGCTTATATTTTAAAAGCACTGTTTTGCTTTCTCAAATCTGCTAAGTTCGTCTGTGTTTGTTTCTTCTAATTAATAAATATTTGTTACTTCACTCTCTAAACTCGACCCTGTTGTATAAATGTCAATAAAATAACTCCCATAAAGCAGGTATAAGTCCACCGTTTTCCTACTTTTAATAAAAAATAAACAGAATATCGCATAGATTAATAATAAAACTTATTTAATTTTACAGAAGAGGAGAGCTCCACCAGCTCTTTATATGAAGGCAGTGAAGTGGAAGATGAAGAAGTAGATGATGAAGAAGAAAATGACTGTGAGGGAAATCAAAATTCTAAAGTACAAGGTATGCGCTTACCTCTTGTAAATGGCGTCATGTTAGTGTTACTCTTACTAAACAAGCATATCTATAACTAATGATGATATTTTTAATATCTTCAGATGGTGAAGAGAATGCAGACGGAGAACCCGAAGAAAGCACTCGGGGTAAAAAACGGAAACACGAGGATGACGACGAGAATTGAGTGTTGCCTTAAGCGGAATTATCTTACTAGTTTGTAAGTGTACAGCGCTCCGATGCATCGGACAATAAACCTGTTCACAATCACGAAACCCCGCAGTCATCCCCGTAGACTAGTTGTCATTCGTGAGATTGATACCCGACACCCAATGAGGCTAGACTCAATCGCTTTCACTCTAGTTTCACGCGTCCATCGGATGTCGTACAATTTTATGAAGTTTTCTATCATTGATTAATGTTGGATGTCTCAATAGACATGTGAAATCTGTAGTTTGTTGTCCGACAGTTAATGTTTCAATTAAATTGTTTATGTAATAATCATTTTTTATTCTATTGATATGCTTAATTTTTAGTCTAATCATTGAAATGGAAGTGCATGATTATAGGTTAAAATAGCTCTCATTTGATCTACAGTTATGAAGAATTGTATTAATTAGCTGTAAGTAAGAACATGAGTAAATTGTTAGACAAAACTATTCCAAAAATTGCCCTTGGAATCTGTTACAAACCTTAGTTCTGACATGGGCGCCGCCTGTTTTTTGATGACCAAGTTAGACTGATAAAGACATACTAAAAATTTTAAATACTATGACATGACGTCAATTTTCTTGTAGAGAATTATTTACTATAATTACAAATTATGATAATAATGGGGAATAATACATCAACATCCGTGATTTCGAGTTTATAAGGTTAAGAGGGAGAATAAAATATTTTTACAAAAGCTAAAGCTAAATGCCCTCGTTTATTCCAATTTTTGGCTGGTTTATTTACTGCATAAATATTTTTACTATTTTATTACCCTTTAAATCGCCGTGAGCATTGCACCGATACCCATAATAATTGGATGTTGCTGCATAATAACTAAATGTACTGTACTCATTTTGATTTTTTTTCATTGATTCTTAAATGGTCCACTACTATTCTATCTATGTATAAATCTTTATCAGGTAACAAATATTGACAATACGAAACTTTTTCTAGTACACATTGATATAAGTAACAGCCGGTCAAAGGTGAACATGAATATTATTCATAAAATTTAACTGCACAGATAATGTGTAATCTCTCACACTGCAATTTAAAAACGCAACATCAAATTATTCGTAATCTCACTAATGATAACTGAAAATATTCAAGAAAACAAAATTAATTTTCAATGGGCGTAGTAAAATATCGTAATCTGATTAATTAGATCAAATCTTTGACGTCTGATGAGTTCAGAGAGTATTTTTCTACAATCTTTTTAAATTTTAAAATAGCAATTAATGCACTTATGAATATCAATGAAATGTTTGGTTGATGCATCATGGTGAACGTGCCAGATATGTTGAAGAGAATTTTAGTTAATAATTTTATTATATTGTGTAAGTCATTAAGTTTAAGTAATTTACAACTTTGGCCTGTTGATATATATTATATATAATCCTATTAAGACTTTATTTCTGGGATTGTAAAATAAAAGCTAAATATATTTTTTTCGTTTCATTTGCCTACCTACTTATTATTTTACAGATGAGAAAAATGAAATGAGTAAAACATACATCAATCTGTTACAAATTTATTAGAGATCAACAAACACTGATGTAGGTACACAAATTGGGTGTCAACTAGTTTGTTGATCTAAAAATTGTTGCAATAATGTAATATCAATGGGTATTACCAAGTTTTCACTACCGTCGTATGTTCTTTTCATTTTCACCAGTTTGTGATCTAAAAATTCGGTAAGTTGAGCTCGTAACGCAAGATCGGAACTCACCAGGAATTGTTCTCGACACTTAGAATACAAATCTTTGAATGGCAGTCCTGAAAAAAAAAGTAAATGTAATTAGAACGATAATGTAGGTACTCAACAACTCAAGATTTCATTAAATTTGTAATAAATAACTGCAATTCGCCGTTTTAACCCGTCGTCTAAACGTGGATCCACGCGGGACAATGTATTTTCTATTGTCTCATATATGTACGGCATTCAAGCGGTTAAAAAATATTTATGGTCTTAACTTGAATCATTTGAACGCTCTACTTGCAGAATATCGATTTGTTGATCACACAGAGCAGAAATCTAACACCACGCAGCTAGCAGCTGGTTGCCGGCTTTTTGGGGTAGGGACTGATTTGAGGATTAGGAAATTCGGCCTATATTGTCCTACAAACGCAAGCGCTGTTTCATGCCGGTTTTCTGTGGCGTGGTATCACTCCGGTCGAGCCGGCCCCTACATGTCGAAACATTGCTCTCCCACACTTAAAAAAATGCTCAGATTTGTTCACTTATCATAGAAAAAGACAAGAATCATACCTTGATAATTTTGTTTCTGATTTTCTAGTTGATATTCTATAATAATTTTGAATATTCCTTTAGCGTTTGTAGTAAGCGATTGATACACGCTTTTCAGTGAAGACAGTTGTAAAGCACCGCTGCGATGCGACATCAAAGAATTCTCATATGAAGTCTCTTCAGAGTAAGGAACAAATGTTGTCACGTCCCACCATGTGAATTTGAATTTACTCAGTTTTGTGTGATCCCATACTGAAATGAAACGTGAGCTAATATAATTTACATAACATAACATAACATCACGCCTCTTATCTCCGAAGGGATGGTGCACAAGGTGCACATTATGCCATTGTACAATGTAACACCTACTTTTCACTATTTACGAGCCTATTGCCATATACCGGACAAAATTCCAGACTCCGTGCTGCTACTGAGAATTTTTTAATAATTTGCCCGCCCCGGGAATCGAACCCGAGACCCCATGCCCGGCACGATCACTCGGCCAACAAAGCAGTCTAATATAATTTATATTTTTTTAAAACCGTCCGTTCCGAGGCCTTTCGACTTTAATTACACTCACTACCTGTACTGAAAATACATAGATACCAAACACAAATGAGGCAAGTGCATTGTGCATACATTCTAAAAAGAATATATTGCGATGACTGGTTCATTAAATTCTGGTAGAATACACACTAGCTCAACTGGCTGGAAATTGTGTTATAGGGAAGTATACTTACATAAGGGAGCATTAATGTGGTCAATAGTGGCAATTGTATGTACATTCCTGATCTGAGATATACTTGCCAATATAGACTGAGCTTTAGCATTACGCAACATAGTACCATCTATATTATGTATTATTAGAAACAAGTTTACGCCATTTTCCTTTAACTGAGTATCAATTAAATTCACAACATCTCCCACATTTGAAGGCACATTGGTGTTCTCCAAGAGATCAATTACAATTGTTTCCAGAATACTCTTAATTGTTAAACTAGGGAAGAATCCATTAACAACAATACATGGAAAGTCTTTGAGTTTCTGCTTTTGGAACTGTTGAAGCACTGAGCGTTTTGAACCAACTCCATACAGTATGATGTTGAAGTTTTCACTTAACACATATAGCCACTTGTTGAACAATTGTGTGTAGGAATGATTCAGGTCTTTTATAATCTCCTTATGTTCCGCTGATATTTGAATGTCATCAACATTATTCTCATCGATATTTAAGTTTTTAAGTCTTGCCAACGTGTGGTCGGAAGTAGCGATCTGAAAAAATATTTAATAGAAAAAATATAATTAAATTACCTAACAAAAGTATGTAAGGATCATTTCTGAGGAGCCTCTACATTTGGCGACTGAGCCGCTCGTGCGTAATCCATAATACGCGCAGGCAGTGTTTGAATATAAAAAATGATCGCGCGCAGTTCGCGAGTGACGCATTCGTCAGATCTGGCTGGACGCATCTTCACATACTTTTTGAGCATTCATCATATTTATGCTTGTAAGAACCTTAATTAATTTACTTACTTTTTTACTCGAGTGCATAATGAAGTAATTATCAGGGGTGACATAATATTCAGCATCTTTTACTTTAGCCTTATTGTCTCTGCCTTTAACAGCTTTGCCCACTACTTTCTTTGGTTGTTCTACTTCTTCTTCAGATGATGATGCAGCTTCTGCTGAACTTGAATCAGTCTGTAAATTAAAATATTTCCATAGAATCCCATTTTTCGCGTGGGAGAACTATGCTTCAGCATTTCCTTGACTGACGTGAAACAATGCTTACGCTATTGGCAGTGTGAATGAGGTTACTTAATTGTCAAATCCTCGGATGCACAAAAAGGCCGGCAATACACTGTACTGCACCATAATACCTCTAGGGTTGCTTGCTCGTCGCTTGTTTACCATTAGATGATCCATCTTCATGTTCTGTTTGCATAATATGCCATATTGCAATTCTATTTAGAAATTCAGTGTATTTATGTTTATATTCTGCTAATTGAATAAAGAACAGAAGTACATTTTTAAGTGTTACCTCATCATGGTCACTTCCTTCAGGTACAAAGTCACTGCTGCTGCCAGAGAAATCGCTATCAGCACTATCAGAGTCCACTTCATTACAGATCCCTGTAATTGAACAAAAAAAGTATTATAATGCTGAACAGTTTGTTTGTTTAGTTTTAACACACTTTCTGAAACTACAGTTGGGGTTTTTTATAATAACTATCGTGAGACATACTAAATTAACTAAAAATCGCGATTACGATACGTGATACGTAAGTACTAGCTTTATTATTGAATGTGTCTCAATAGTTAACACAAACTACATAGTAATAGGTACTAAACCTGGTAGACTTTAACATGTTAATGGAATGGGCCAAGTACTGAAGTGACTGAACAAGTGTTTATGTACAAATAATTATTGTATATACATTTTTTTTTCTTCGAAGTTCATAGGGGGGGAAACCATCGAATTACTTGTCCTGTCTGGGTGAGGCGGGAGGGAGTGTCAGACTCTTACTGACTAAAAAGCACCCTGTTCCTACTACAGAGCCCAGCAACCCGTTAAGTCCTTTATGGTGTATATACATATTATGACTTGACAGCTTAATTATTGACATCCTGGTTTAATTAAATATAAGGATTATTTCAATGATTTTTTACTGTCCTGCCTGTAACTGTTGGTTTGTATATTGACTTATTAAAATGATATGATGTCTACTAACATTAGTTTTAAAGTTAAATGTAGTAACACTAACATAACTTTTGTTAGTAAACAAAAGTATGGACATGTTTTTATAATAACTATTGTGAGACCGCGATTTTAGTTAATAAAGTATGGACATGGTCTGAAATAAATGATTATTTATTATTATTATGTACTTTCAGTATTAAAGGTTCAGAAAGTTCATATGATGGTATTATAATAGTGAAACAAAACCTTACTTTTTCTCATTATCTCCTTAACCTGTTTTGGTGTTTCCTGTGATACTTTGATCAAAGACTGGAGCTTCTTTGGAGTTTTCATTGGTGAGTCCACAGGCTTTGGAGAATAAATAGCTGTCTTTACTTTGTTTTGTAAGTCCTGCTTTGTGTGACGAGATTTAAACTTGAACATATCCTGGCCTTCAACATCATCTTCAGTAAATAGAGCTGTAAAATTATTACATCTAATTTATTTAACCCATACATCACCAAACGGTCACCGGTGACCGCTCTCCACTAACTACATTATAGACCTTATTTCCAATGTTTAGATACTACTTTTGTATGAACAAATTTAGGGGATGAATTTCAACGGGTTAAGACACAGATATTGTAGTACAGGAATACTTAAGATAATAATGCATGATAACTTGTGGATTGATTCTTGCAGTCTAATAATATAATGACTTTTAACTATACATACCTAGATGTTAGTACAATTTTATTTTCATTTGGACTACAAAATTGTATTAAGACAATACCTGTGGGTTTCGGTAAAGCAGCTTCATCGTTAATTTCACTGTCTTCTTCAGAAGAGCTCATATCTTTGTAATTTCTTCGCTTCACAGGCGAGTTATCTAAGAAATCACCATACTTCTTTGGTTTGGACCTTATTCTAGTTGTACGTCGTGATGGAGATTCTGTTTCATTACGATCCTCTGTAATTTTTAATAAATTTAGTTAGGGTTCAGGCGTTACATATGTAGTATTAAAGAATTAAACAAGGAAAAGACGTCATAAATAGAAATGAATAATAGTGAAGTAATCTGCTACCTAATAAACTTACCAACAACAGAATGATTTTCACCAAAACGAAGACGGAAACCGCCACTAGCCATGTTGCTTGTTAAATAAAAATAAGAATCGCACGCAATAAACTACCAACAAAATATTATATTTCAAATCTTAATTCTAAAAGGTACTCATTTATTCAATAATATTCTGTATTAGCTTTGATTTTTAATTATAAATATATAACTCGCAAAACAAACAACCGGTACGCGAACACCTGTCGTTGACATGACATCTGCATCTGCCAAAACTACTTTTTAATTTCACATTTTCACGATTTGTTTGAGCCATGGGTTTTGAGTTCCCCTATACTTATTATTCTTTTTGGTTTTGGGGTTTCGGGATTTTGACGACAAATACATGATCCGAAAGATTCTTTATAATATTATAATTTATTTATGCATTAGAAGTTGGATAACATCAATCGCAAATCCATATACGAAAAACACGTCGAAAAAACGGACGCCTTCTTTTCAACTTCCTTGCCTACAATACGATCGGTAGTTTAAAGGATGTTTATTGTCAGAAATTATAATAAATATTATGATGGTTAATAAATGGATCGTGAAGAGGAAATGAAAATTAGAACTGCGGTTTTAAGGTAAAATGTGAAATAGTGATTGGAGGCACTGAGTCGTTTCAACAGAAATAATTATTTCACATGTTTTTTTTTTAAATGGGAAAAGCCGCTACAACCTCCCAAAAACCACTGCAACTCCTGTAAGCCAGGATCTACAGTAGATACAACCATGAAAACACCGGAACACTGAAGTCCGGCGCGTCCCAGGGACATGAGTATCTGTCTTGGTTCCCGCAACGAAGTGAATCAGAAGATATTATAAGAGAAGAAGAAAAAACTGGTTTCCGCTTCCCTCGGTGAATTACTGCAGGAGACAGAATGAATTAAGCCTAAAGGCACAAAGAAGAGACTGTGCAACTGGGTGAAGTCCAGTCGCCAAGCACCACGGAAACTAAAAACTAAGTGGGTCCTATGTGTGAGCTGTTATACTTGCTTCCAATAATAGGTAATGGCAAAAACGCCTAAACGCACGGAAATTCGTTCTAGATTCCACAAGGTCCGTATAATAAGCTACACTACTTTCACATGCTTACCAATCAAGCAATGAAAAAATCCTGTTGCAAAGAGATAAAAATAAAAACTTGGAAGTCTTGTTAATTTCACCTGTTGCTTTATTCAGCAACCTTTCTACCCTCTCCTCTAATCTCTACGCAATAAAACAACTCAGTTATTAAAAATATTTTATTAAATTTCAGTATTTCATTTCAATTTTAACAATTCTTAGATTTCGCATTTTACAAACATAAACATCACTAGAGAATGAAAAATAGTCTTCTTGCATCACACTTTGAAGTCTAGCAACATTTGCATTTTCAGTTATTTATTTATCTTTTGTAGAAGTAACTTTTGGCATTGTGATAAATATCTAGATTACTAGATACCTAAACAAACATTGATCTGAACATTTGAAACATACTTAAAAATAACAACCAAAAATAGCATAACAAGAATTAAAGTGCTTATAAGAATCCAAGTAGATTTAAATTATCACAGAAAGACAATTGTAACTCCAATACAATCTACTTGGAATCTATTGCGCTATTTCTATATATTTTACAAGCAATGGGAAAACTTATAGCTAACTTAATATTATCGGACTTTAGTCAATGACGTATCAAATGAACTTAATAATTAGAAAAAAAAAGGATTATAAGTTGTAAGACTGAACTGGAAGTCATTAGAGGAAGTTTACGTTCAACAGTATATCTTGTGACTGACATGAAAATGATTCTAAGTACATAATTAAAATGAATGTTCTTGAAAAATATTCTATTACTTACCTACAAGGTTAAAACTATTGTCATATTTCGGTATAAAAATACACAACCTGACCAACATAAAGTCCTTACCTGTAAAAATACCGTTTTTAAAGGCGATTTCAGGGTCTTTTCATAGGTAGACTTATTATGACGGTAGCTACGTCACAACTGTAGCCAATTAAAACATGGTTTATGAGTAAAATTCATTAAGCAAATCAGTAGAAACTAAGTTACCTAGTGTACTTGGGGGTTGCTGCACTAAAATGTAATAATAAAGAACCACTTAACACTATTATAGCACATTTAGCTAATTAACTCGTCGAGTACCGGTTTTATAGACACAATTAAAGAACAATAGGTCGCGGTCACCGGTGACCGCTTGGTGTTTGACAGTTTAAATCGCATTATTTCTACATATAACTAAAAGGCGAGCAAATTACATTCTAAATAAATGAGCAACAGAGGTCCAGGGATCGTATGAGACATTTATTTGATTTGATCTTTTCAGATATTAAATGTTTTTCAAAAAGTTTACAATTTACTAGATAACTTGGAATAGAAAATTCATTCATTTTTTTTGTTAACTAACATAACTGAACTAGAATACAACTGTTTCGATAATACTACCACTAATTTATTTTATAAGTGTTTCGTACTGCCTCACTTTGCTTACTTTTTGTCAATGAAGACTTAAAATAATTAAAAAAATACAATACACTTTTATGATCCATTTCACTTAAAATTAATTACTGTACTATTTAGAAACATAATTATTGCTGTTTAAGCTGTTTAACAGACTGTTTAAATCAATAGTTTGTCACTTTGGTTATAAAATAAGGAAAGAAAAACTGTTCGTTGTCCAATGAAAATATTTATCATTATATTCTAAAACTTTGATAGAAAATAGATTTACATAGAAATTGATCGTTGATTTTTAAAATTGACGTTACCGGCTTCGATAATTCAAAGGTCATAAGTCAGCCCAGCCAGGGCTGGAAGTAATCATCAGTAAGTCAGTTTTATAATTGATTTTCAACTTTATGACTATAGCATAAGGTTTATTAATCTACTCAGGATACGCAAAAATACGAATAAAGGATTCAGATTATTGGACAAAGGTATAAAGACAGAAAATAATATAATACAAAATCATCTAAGCAACACTGTGCTTACAATAGTAGCAAAATGTCTGAATTATTATACAAAATGCAAGTCTTAGGATAATTATTGCTCAAACATAGTTCCTGTTTAAGCCACTGAATGTCTTTTAACCCTAACATAGACTCAGGAGTACATAGTGAACAGTCTAGCATCTCGTTTATGTACATTTGAGGCTTAGGACAAGTTGTATAAAAATATTTATTTTAAAAACAATAGCAATAAGTAATTAATAACTCTTAGTAACTATGGACAATCGCTATCAGAGAGTACCTCCTGTCAATCAATGTACCTTCTAATAACATTGGCAGCTTCGGTCTGGCCTATATCTTCAAGGATCATCGCCAGCGATTTGGATGATATATCATCACGGGAATCCTGAAAACATTTGACGTCAGTATTGTATTACGGTAAACTCATATAAATCTAAATACTTTAGAGTGATACGGAGATTGCAATTCTGCCGTTTATGCAGATTGTTTTTTACATGGCGAGAAGAATATTAAGTCTTTATTAGGGTATCATTCACATCAGTCTATTAGAGTAGGTATATAAAGCTGAAGTTTGTATGGTTCAAATTGAAAAAATGGTTTTGTACAAAACAACCAATAGGGGCCGAGTCACCGGCGGAACCGTATGGAATAAATCATTTTGCGATCTACAGAATGTTGTTTTTAGTGTGGGTGTGATGTATATATGAACTTGTACGTTTATAAATACACCTACGACAGAGTTTCTTTGATAAATTTGATGTTATAAAATGGTATACCTTAAGATGATTTAGAAGTGTGAAGGTGGGACTGGCTTGCGCAGCGTACCACTCCAGCAAGGAGTCGAGCCGCAGTCGCTGCGCCAACACCCGCCACGCGCCCGCCACGTCCACGAGCACTGACACCTCGCGAGCGTACAGGTTCAACTCCTGTAGACCATTGTCTGGATAATCCTATAAACCAAAACATATTTATTATAGTATAGTAAACTAGCGGACCCGACAGACGTTGTCCTGCATATTATTACGATATTTCAAGATATTAAGTTTTAAATAACCTAGACATCGACTGCAGCGCCATCTGCCATCGGGCTGATTTGTGAATCTAAACAATCCAGAGCGCCACTCAAACGCATAGGTACAGAAAAACATCATTGAAATCGGTCAAGCCGTTTAGGAGGAGTTCAATGACATACACACGCACAGCAGAATCTATATATATATATATAAGAAAGTCGTATTAGTTACACCACTTATAACTCAAGAATGGCAGAATATATTTGGCTGAAAATTGGTAGGGAGGTAGCTTAGAGCCAGGAGACCGACATAGGATACTTTTTAAGCAAACATTTTTTTTTTACTTTTCCCCGAAAATCACGAACGGGGACGGGAAAAAATGGGATGGTACGCGTACGAAGTCGCGGGCAGAAGCTAGTTATATATATAAAGATTGACGATTAAGTAGTAAACTGATGACATTTTTCATAAGTACCCATGATCGTCTGTGTACGTACCAATATGTCTGGTATAATGTAACCAGTAAGAAGTAACAATAGTCAAATAAGTTCCATTTGAATATTACCACAACTTACATATATTATTAATGCGAAATTTTGTTGTGTTTGTTTGTTATTCAGTCACATCAAAACGGCAAAAGAGATCTGAATGTAATTTGGAACAAGAATAGATTATGGTCAGGAATGACTCATAAGCTATTTTTAGAGAAACAGGAACGCGGGCCAAGCCGCTGGTAGAAGCTACACACATAAATTACTCATTTTAAAGCAAGGGAAACATGCAACAACATATTTAAAAAAATGCAGTTAGTGAAAATAATCTGTATTAAATCCAATTAGAGTCCTTATTTCATATTTTAATGTACTTACACCTTCATCAGCGGATTCGAAGTCATCATCAGGTTCTGATTTGATATCGTCTTCGTCCATGTACTCCATGTTGACGTAAGCTTTCATCAATTCACGAAGTTCCGGCTTCTTCTTCACAAGTATCCAGGCAGATTCGTTGCAATCCTCGTGTTTTAAAGGATAAGCCTATGGAATAAAAATGTCGTTGATTTACAGAATTCTAGGAATGTTATATGGCCTTTTATTTATTTGTTACGATTTATTATTATGTAATGTAATGGAGTTTCTTGCCCGTTCTTCTCTATAGGAATCTACACCTTGGAATGAGCAAATAGCTTCACTTTTAATTTTTTGTTGACATACAAGTGCCTTTCTGGTCTTTCTGACTTTGACTTTGTAATTTATAAGATACGACTATTAACCCATGGTATGCGGGAGCGCAGATCTATGCGAGATACAATGTGTTTTTGTGTCTCATATATGAGCATATAAGAAGTTTTACACTCAAAACCTTTAATATTTTAATATTTAATATTTACGCTGTTCAAATTCAAATTCTTTATTGTTTAATTGTTTGATATCATAATGACTGTGAACATAACTGCCGATTTCAATCAGAAATCTTTAAATTGGGATCGACATTTTGATCTATTATCTTGATATTAATCAAGACGGATTTAAAGTGTATTTAATTATTTTATTACGCACCTTCTTTTCCAGTAGAAGCCGAGCGATTTCAACAGAATTCTCCCTGATCGAAGTGCCTCCGCAGACGATCTGAAGAGCTGTATTACCAGCGCCGTCCATAACGTCGATTTCGCTCTGAAATTTTAATAATATCAAGTTTTTGTCGCCATATTTCTGGTATTTTTATCATACGTACCACTGAATTACCTTTAAATTTTATTAGAAAGCGTCTGTGGGGAACGAAACAAGTCGTATCGAGTTCGATACATAGCTATGAATATTGAGGTTACCGAAGGTCCAATCTTACACCATCCCCGAGCACTAACAGTTGAAAACGCATTTGTAACTTCTCTATTGTTGCGGTTGACCCTGCTTACTTTCAGGTGTTCCATTTGCTCGTTATTATGTTTATTAAAGCATCCACGACACAGGAGGAAATCCTTTTACGCTATTGACTACTTCATTTGCCGAATAGTCGAGTGGTAGAGACGCCACCGAGAACTAAAGTTGTCTACATTGTATTATTATTACTAAATTAATAATAATATCACTTATTGCGCGCCTGGCGCCTATTTTATATTGGGCGCCTGGGGTGAAGTATAATAATAATAATAACAATCGTTTATTTGCAAAAACAGATTGTAGTGCTTATAAAATGTAATTGTAGCATCCTTTTAAGGAAGAATAAGTTTTAAAATGGAAAGCTTACAGGAGGTATGAAGTCGAGTAGTACGTTCATGACGGCGAGGCGGTCGTCGTAGGCGGCGAGGTGCAGCGGCGTGCGTCCGTCCGCGTCGCGCGCGCTGTAGCTGGCGCCGTGCTGCAGGAGCAGGCGCACTCCGCTCTCCCAGCCAGACACCACCGCCATGTGCAATGCGGTCTGTTTCTCTGTTGCGAAGACAAAACATTACTTTCAGTTAAGTAAAATCGTGCTCATGAGGAAGAACCCCTCTGTGGTTCGAAACTAATAGAGCTTTTCTCAGTATATTCACGTGAGTAACCCGCGATTTTACTTAATTTAATATGTCTCACGATAGTTATTATAAAAACATTACTTTCAGTGTTCATATCGTCAGAACTGGGGGCTTATTCTTGATTCCAACTCCGATCGATCGACATTGGTATTGTGAAATTTCGTATTCTTGAATTGTAACAGTAGCACCCATTGCATCCGTATTGCGTGGATATTGAATAAACTAAATTGTCATAATACGTTTGGCTTTTATTCCGTACTCTGAATGCTATTTGAACAGCTAACATTAGGGTTGTATAGTTTTGACATTGAATAACTATTGAGATTTCATTGGATTGAAATTGCATTGACATTGAGGTTGGTTTCAAGGTTAAGGAGAAGCTGTACGTGAACGTGGAAGTGGTTGTTTATTGCATGGTCATCTGTAATATCCCTCTTCCTGCTGTGAAAAACTGTCTGGCATAGAATGCCATGCAGTATTAAGTACGCCACTGTATAGACGTCAATGGTGTTAAATAAAAAATATATTCATAATAATCCTGTTCTCACACGGAGAAGGAATAAGCATTAATCGACATGCTTGCTCATGGCGGAATTTTAATCTTCATGATGTTTAAGTTCACCGTATTCTAGGCTCTCAAAAAAAAAACTGGCACCTTACTTAGAACCTTTGTGCATGGGTTTGCCAAGTCTAATAGCTATAAAAGATGACGCTATAGTCAGAGCGCCGAACAGAGCGGTTAAACCGCGCGGAAGTAAATAAATAAATTTATCTCCTTCGACAATACTCATATATAATATACACTATTTGTTTTCTTTACAAAACTTATATTTGTATAAATAGCTAGACCTACCTCCATTGTATTCGTTCAAGTTACAAGGCACGTTGTTCTTCTTGATAGTGTCGAGTAAAGTCTCGAGGCACGACTTGTATTTAACTGCGTAGTGGATCACGTTTAGATCTTCGTCGTCTTTCAACATTGGATTTGAACCTGGAATAACACAATGTATTAATACTTTCGATCTTTAAAACTCTACTCCATTCTTTATTCGAGACACTTTGGGAAATAGCTTAATTTCGAGCAAGGAGTTTCAGATCCGACCTCCGGGTTGAGAAAAATAATGACGTTACTATAACATAGGGGTCATCCATAAACTACGTCACACGTATTTCATGATTTTTGCCCCTCCCCCCGTCCTTGTCACAGCTAGTCACATTTATGAGACCGCCCTCCCCCTAGTGTGACGTCACATTTTGCTGAATTGCGTATGTAAAAAAATATTGAATGAAAACAGCGATTCCGAAATCAGTTTTATTTCTATTTAAATTACTTTAAAAAATATTTATATCAAATTAAACGTAATTAATACAATAATATTTCGTGTTTTATAATAGTTTTTGAAATGTGACATTATAAAGTTTAGGATCCCTCCCTCCCCATATCACACTTCGTCGACCCCCTCCCTACCCCTGTACTACCCCCCTACGTGTGATGTAATTTATGGACGGCCCCCAAGTGGTCTGGCATTGGCATTTCTTTGTTTGATCCTGAATTGAACACAAAGTCTCAAACGTTACGCTAGATCAACGACAGAACGATAGAAGTTACTATAAAAATTGGAAGCCTTATTCCAATGTAAATTTACCTTTGGAAACGAACAAGGTGACCATTTTAGGCATGTCGTTGACAACGGCGAGGTGCAATGGCGTCTGTTGTCTCTCATTGGCGAAGTCGAGCAGATGTGTGGCTTTCACGCTATGAATAATCTTCACTATGTACTCCAGACTTGGCTGGTTACTGCACAGAGTCATGTGGAGGAACCTGAAATTTTAATCATAGTAAGTGTGGGAGAGCCATGCTTCGGCATGAATAGGCCGACTCGATGAGTGAAACCATAGACCTAGCTACCAGACGGACTTTAAAATAAAATTTAGGAAACTACCCTGTTGTAATCGACACCCGTAGGAAGTGTACAGAGGGCCAAGCACGAATAATTATCGCATTCGTATCGTAACAGTATCGAGCGAGTTAAGCATTCTGATTGGTTGGTTCAATTGAGCCGGCCAATCAGAGCGCCGAACGCGCTCGATACTTTTACGTTACGAATGCGATAGTTATTCGTGCTTGGCACTCTGGTTGATTTTTTCTGACCGTACTGCTGGTTTAGAGTGAACTATTTGAGCGTTTCATATTATGTATAAGTATTTTAGAAATATTTTAAGTTGGACATTAAAACAAAATTTTAATGAAATAGCTACTTACGTATCTCCATTCGACAATCGTATTTCGAATAACCTTTCCAAACGGCTTTTGACTTCTGCTTTTTTGAAACCTTTCTTGTTTCTAATCATTTCACAAATGTCTTTCACCAGCTGCAATAAAAAACAAATATTTGGAAATAAACAACAGATTAAATTAGTATGTTTTGATTTTTGAGTCAACATTTTAGAAAATATAAGGTAGAAGATCGGGTTTAGTTGTCTTACGGGTGGGTTGTTGTTGGTCGACAATGAACAGATTACGAACATTGATCAAAGTCAAAGAATCGGCGTAGAATAAAAGGTGATACGCTTCTGCACCACAGACTGACGCGATGATACACGATTGCTAATTTACATCATAAAATATTTTTACACCAAAATAAAAAGGTTTCTACACTATTATAACAATATTGTCAATTACCAAATTCGTAGTAACTGGACAATAGACGACTATAAAAAAGATAACATATTTTACTACCTTGTAACGAAGGTGCAAGGAAATATTGTAATCATTAGAACAGAAAAATGCTTCTATTTCGAGCAGATAAGACGCATATGCGTATACCTCGTGTGTTCATAAGTTTTGAGACAAATTAAAAGTTGCATATCTTTTTAAATAATAAACTTATATTTATAAAAAACAATAACAAACATTAAGTAGATAGTAAGTAAAAATTAAATATAATTATTATTCAAAATGACCACCCCTGTTTTTAATACATGCCCTTAGACGATTTGGCCAGTCATCAATGGCGGCACGAATCTTTTCCAGAGGAATTCGCTTCGCTTCTCGGACAAGTCGCTCGCTTAAGTGACTCCAAGTTTGGGTGGGACTTTCGGCAGGCTCTGAGCTCTAATTCGGTCCATAAAGAATAATCCAGCGGGTTGAGGTCGGGGGCTGGAGGAGGGCCATTCGTTCGCCGCAATGAAGGCCGGCACATTTTCCTTCAGCCAAGCTTGGGTGGTTTTAGCCTTATGGGATGGCGCCGAGTCTTGCTGGAAAACCCAATACTTGTTATGGAATAGGGTATTAGACAGGGGTTTCACAACAGTCTCTAGAATGTCACTTTGATAATTTTTGGCTTTCACCTTGACGCCTTGTTGGCAGAAATGAAGCTGAGTGACACCTTCGTACGAAACTCCCCACCATACCATGACACTAGCCGGATGATGAGTACGCGAGACATTCCGTGCTGAAGGTGGGACATCTTTGCTACTTTTGGCATACACTTTATTGTTTTGTCGATTGAACTTTTCTTCGACGGTAAAGATTTTCTCGTCGGTGAAGAGTATCTTCCTCGCATCGTGTCTCCTAAGCAGTATTGGACAACGTTCGCGTCGCAATTGACGAAGGCGATCGTTTAAAAAGTGTACTTTTCTACGGCTATACGCCTTAAGCTTGAGATCATATTTCAGTATTCTGTTGACTGAAACGCGCGAAATATTGGTCTGCAGAGCGAGTTTCTTCTGAGTGCGACATGGATTTCGGCGAAGTCGCTCTCGGATGACTTTAATGTTCGCAGGCGTCCTCACAGAGCGTGGACGACCACTTCTTTGCCGATCATGTAAAGAACTTGTCTCCTGGTATCGTTTAATAGTGTAATACACGAAGTTACGGCTCACACCAAAACTTTTCAGTTCTCGGAAAATGTCCATAGGTTTTCTTCCCACCTTAAATAATGAAATGACGGTCGCACGTAATTCTTTTGTTCCCTCCATTACGAGAAAATTTAAATAAGATTATCCGAAATCATAGATATTAAAAGTTAACATTCCAAATTCAAAATTAGAAAAAGAAATATACAGCAGCCAGTAATTTTTATTTTATTTTTATAAGCAAAAAGTTTGTCTCAAAACTTATGAACACACGAGGTACTAAAGTATCACATCTAGGATGCCTTCAGACAACATCACTAAAAGTTGTAAGCTATTTCAAACTCCATAGGTAACTTGAATATTAAATATAAAAAAATGCGCCCCACATTTGTAAAAGTTCAAATAAACAACAAAACATGAAATACCAAACAACTTTTAACAATGCTATTTCAAGTCGACAAAAATGTTCCTAGTTACCTACTTATTTTAATGTAATAATAATTATAATTAGTAATTTTTTTGCGTAACCTATTCTTACAATTTTTTTTCGTGTACCTTCTAGGCTTCATATGATTTTTAGTTTAATAATAGTTAAAAAATTACACATTTCTCTCCTGTGTCGAGTATCGCGAGTGCGATTACATTAACCTGTATTTTCCATTAATTTCGAAACGAAATTTTACGCCAACCGTGTATTCAAAGGATGTGTAGAATTAAATAATGTATAATATTAAAAAGTATAAATAAGTGAACGTCCTAACAACTACATTATTACCTTGCACCTTCGTTACAAGATAGTAAAATACCTTACCTTTTTAACTTCGATCCCATCTTCTGTCTTATAGAAGGCTGGGTACTCGGTCTTGGGTTTTATATCTGGCGTCTTGCTCGGGCTACGCGCGGGCTGCTGCATTCTATCACCTTGCAAACGCATATTGTTCTTGTTTTCTTGCTAGAAAGATTAAACACAATGAAATTATAAATTATATAGATTGCCTCATTGGCCGAGTGGTCGCAAGTGTGACTGCCGGGCAAGGGGTCTCGGGTTCGATTCCCGGGTCTAAAACTCTAGAAAAGTCTAGAGTTGTACCCGGTATATGGCAATAGGCTCACCCCCTATTACATGGGACTCATGACATAAATAGCGAAAAGTGGGTAAAAAAGTATCGCAAATTCTCTATTATGGATGGATTTGGCCAATATAAATCGATGAACAAGACCTTTGACAATCTCATTCTTAAAGCTAATGTCGTCAAGGTCAATATAACCATAACGGCATAACCAGTTTATTACGGTGTCAGTTTGTATAATTTTTAAGCTCATGTAAGAGTCAGTTTATACTGGATTTGCATAGCTTGATGTGTAGCTTATATGTATGTAGACAGAGATCAATTCAGTTAAAAGCTCTACTACTTTCGAACCACAGAGGGGTTCTTCTTCATGAGCAGCGTGTGCGGTTGAGGAGATGTCGCGCAACCTACTCTCTCTGTGGTGCGAAACTAGTAGAGCTTTTCTCAGTATATTCACGTGAGTAACCCGCGATTTTTAGTTAATTTATTAAGTCTCACGATAGTTATTATAAATACATCAATTCAGTTGTTTAATAACGTGTTAAGTATGATGAATGTTCTAAGTAACACTAACCTTAGGTCGTCCGGAGTCAGCTAACAGCAGGGTACGAATGAAGTCCATACTGTTTCTCTAAACAATACACAAGAGTCTCATTAGTTCGTTATTGACAAGTTTGTTGGTGACTTTTGTTCGTTTGATTTCCGACACGATCCCACAAAGAAACATCGAGCATCGCCCTTTTCAGAGCACGCTAAGTGAACCGAAGCTTCCTTATGAAGCTTATATGGAAGTTTCTTTGGTAAACATAGAATTAATTGTTTCTTTGGTATAACAGAACTGGTGATTTTTTTATTTGATGTGCCGACGTTTGACTACTTTCCCGCCTGGTGATGAGCGATGATGCGGTCTATGATGGAGCACGTCGTCATATAAGCAACTTATGTAACCCTTCAGGAAATACAGACTTTAGCAAAGAATTCCACTCCTTATTAGCAGTACGCACAAAGATCAAACTTTACTTTTACATTTATTCATTACTTTAATAAAATGTGTAATGAAAAAAGGCAATATAGGTTTTCAACTTACTTCATCAGGTAAACTTTCCCCGTAGCTCCGCATGTATTCTGTAAACAAATTGTTGCTATGTTATTATTTAGAATTATTTTATAGGTATGTCTAATATGTAACTGATTTTATTGTTGACGACACCTGAGATTCGATTTTCAATATTTACTTTTAATTACAGATATTTAGCTATAAATGCAGCGTAAACTAGTCAAATCTAATTCTGAAACACTATTCTACTACAGATCATGCGAATATTTGTTACGTGGAAAACTAAATTTTAATAAACTGTCGGGTATAAATCCCCTTGTCTTGAGGTCGGTTTATTAATATACTAAAACCGTATCCTACGTGTAGCAACACTTTTTTTAAAACCGCATGCAGCCAATCGGGAGATGATCACGCGCAAACAAACATACATGCAGGTCAAACTGAGAACCTTCTTTTATTGAATTCGATTAATAAAAGGCGTTAACGTTATACTAACCATTCAAAAAGTTTTTAATATCTTCTGGGACCTGTGGGGGCTGCGGATCATTGCTAGTGGGTACTGTGACCTGTTCGAAGTCTGCGGAGTTGAGCTGAAGGTTGGCGATGGGAGACATGGGCAGCATTACACTGTGAGGCTCGCTCCACATCGAATTCGATATAGGCGACTGGCTCGTCTCTGAACCGGGAGCAGAGTACAAAGCACTTGCCAGATCACATTGGTTTGGCGTCGCCGAATCGTGCACCTGTTTAAGACAATATCTCTTTAATATCACCCATAATATTTCACTGGGACACCATGGCGGTGCAACCAGTAGCGCCACCGTATCTCATGTCTGTAAACTACCAAGTCCAAACTACACTAGAGTTTACATACCAAACTGCGACGGTATCAAAATAGACCTCTAATCCTGTCGTCCGAACTGGGGGCTACTCTTGAATGCAATTCCGATCGATCGACATTGGTATTGTGAAATGTCGTACTCTTGCGTTGCAACACTAGAACCCATTGCACCCATAATTACGTGAATATTTAATGAACTAAATGGTATTGAGTTTGGTTTTATATTCCGTACCCTGAATGCTATTTTAACAGCTACGATAGGGGTTGTATATTTTTGAGATTTTATTGAATTGCAAATTGTATTGACATTGAGGTCGGGTTCAAGAGTAAGCACCCTGGTCCGCCTTCAGATTGGTTGCGAAACCCAGCCGACAACAGGTGATTAACCTCTCTATAGAGCTGCATATATTTTGCTAGTGGCGGCGACTGGTTACGCTACCATGATGTTCCGAGCCCCAGTGAAAGATAGCCCTTAATCTTTCCGCGGTTGTAAAAGACGACTAAAAGTCAACACATTCAACAGAGATCGGGTAAGAAACTCTTAAACTGCCTCCAACCCGTCTAACTGGACTGATACATGTTGTTGTTGATGAATTTGATGATTATCTGTCTTATTTATTATATCTACTGGCTTTCTGCGTGTGGTTTCGAATATTCCTCACCATACCTCCTCCTCCATTCCTCACATTATTAAATGCTGATCTTTTTAGTAAAAACAAACATTCATGTCTTTCCTCTTTATAATAATTCTCAACAGAGATGCAGTCACACGGTCAAACTAATATACTACGACATTACTGACCTGGGGTAGAACATACATCGACGGTGGCACCGGTGGCTCGCGTTCCATAGGAACTTCTTCTGGTTGCTATAAAACCAAATAAAATAATTTATATTATTAATATGAATCTAGATAATAATGTACTATCCGCATTGTACAGTTAACCGGACTGCAACTGCACAATTAGCATAATTCTATGCGAATACTACGCATATCTATTAGAAAAATGGCTGTTCTTGCTGTAATTTTACTGGGCTCGCTGCCATTGTAGCGATAAGTCTCCTTTTTAAGGATTGGCTTGAGAGACGCTACAGCGTCGTCACCTACCGCCTGACGCGGGACGATCTTTCTTGCCGGGGCTAAAGCTCGAAGGGCAGGAGTAGGAACAGGGTGGTTTTTAGTCAGTAAGAGTCTGACACGGTCCGGCGGGAGGAATCCCGCCTCCTTCAGGCGGGAGAAGTCATTCGATGATTTTCCACCCCATTAAAAACTGTAATTCTTTATTATACTAGCTTTTGCCAACGGCTTTACCTGCGTTCCCGTATGATAAAAGATGGACAATAGCCCTTGTATTATACGGTAAATGGATCGAACTCTTCGTCCTTTTTGCCGTAGTTGAGTATCAGACATACAAAGAAACTTACTAACTTTAGGATTAATAATATTAATTTATTTAGCATTGTAACTTCGGTAATGTTCGGTATTGTAACTTCGGATTTATAAAGTCTAACAGTACTCTAATTCAAATAATTGTTAGAATCGTGATTGACATTCTTATGAGGTCAAAGCTATTCCGAAGTTCCTCTATTAATAGGCTCGTTATATTTACTTAACATATCAAACAATAACCTTACTGTTACAAGTTGTTGGGAAACCGGCTGCGTTCACGCGCAGACACAAGCACTAACGCAAACTTAAAATAAAAACAACTGAAGTACGTTGAATACATAAATTAAGCAATTAGAGGTCCGTACTTAAAATAATAGAGACCTTTTTGTCATCTGTCCGTTGTGTTTAAAAATTTCTTGCAACACAAGTGGGATGAAATGGTTGAAATGGATGAAGTGGGTTTAAGTGCAAAAGAAAAAAAACTTACATGATTGACAACAGATATGGGAATGTCACAACCACTTTTCAACGATCCACCTGAAAAAAAAGGTCTCATAAATTTGCTGTATAAAAAAAACTCAAGATGTTGCTTGTTGCATGAAGTGGTTTTCGAGCTTGTTTATAGTTGACTAGCAGCCCTTTCCCTTCGTACGGGTATTGATTTTTAACTTTGTCAGTTATACTGTTTTGTTAGTGGTCCACCACCATCTCGAAAAGGCTCCATCGCAACAAGTATTCCAAAATTTTCTCTCATAGGAAAAAAATACAGATCGCCAATCCGTCTTGAGCAAGCCCGGTGATTAATGCTTTCTGTTCGTGGGTTCGAGATGAGGCGTTTGCTTAGCAGATGAAGAATAGAAGCTAGTACACACGGCTACACATCGAGTTATACAAAATTTCCAATTCACCTTTATATTTAAATCTTAACTAATGCAATTTTTTCTTGTTGCAAACTCAACATCAAGGGTCACCTAAAATATTATTGATTTACAAAATGATAACCCTGCACCGCAATATAATCGTAAGTTTCATAAGTGTTACAGTGGTGAGTACTCATGGTATTATATTTAAAGTAGGATGGTAGTTAGTTAACACTTTGTATGATCTTTTTTTATTAGATGGGACTGACGTTTGACCACTATCTCGTCTGGTGGTAAGCGATGATGTGGCCAACGATGGAGCACGTCGACCCATAAGTAACCTTTTCACTAGGTCCTATCTTTCAGCACATTCTACAATCAATTTATATTGGTTCTGCATAAGTTAGTGTGTACCCGTGTGTTGTGTACATAAATTAAAATAACTTACTAGATGAGCTGCCAATAGAACAGTAGGAAGATCCAGTCTTCCTCTTCTTGATCTGTTTGTACGCTTGGTTGGCTCTGTACTTGAATTGCTTCGGCTCACTAGTACGGCCGTCCGATGGACGAACCAATTCGATGTACACTTCCACATCGACGGGCGTCTCAGGATTTTTATATGGAGGAGTTCTATTAAAAAAAAGGATTAGTTAATAGGGTAGATGCCTAATTTTTATTTTAATATCTGTCTGGTAGATTATTTTAAATTATTAGACACGTATTTTTTATTTTCTTACAGAAACGAATACTTTCGACGATATATTGATTTGAAATGTCGCGTGACGTCACTTCTATGTACATTTTATACGTAGAAATGACGTTTTGGCCCCCACTACTAAACTTTGATTCGTTTTATCTAAGTATTGTTTTATTACCTATACAACAAAATAAAAAAATCGTGTCTAATATTTTTTTAATTAAATAACTTACGGACTCATAAGTTTTTTAATTTCCATACCCTGTCGTCATCCCAATTCTACAACCTAATATTGGTTTCGTATGTATGTTTGTTAAGTATTAACACAAAAACCACTAGACCGATTTAAAAATTATTTTACGATTAGGTAGCTGCATCATTGCTTCTTCATTTTTCTATACTTGATAGGATGACATTGATGTCTACTGAAGCAAGAGTACACAATACGCATATAAATATGTATTCGCAAGTTTCACTCATTGTTACATCATTTATTACGTTGTATGTAAGCACTAAGCCTAATGTAATAGGGCGGTGTCCATTACCTTTACAGATACTATTTCAAGCTCTGAGGCTCCATGCTATTATTGATAATTCCTAGAATCTAACCTTTGTCTTGACTGATAGTCGTATTCACTATATCCTATACTATATATATACTATGATGAATAAGGCTTAAGATTTTTTGTTTGTTTAAACGCGCTAAAGTCTGGAAATACTGGTCGGATTTGAAAAAAAACTCGTTCAAAATTGACGGTTCGAAAAAAGTATTGAATTTGACCCAATTATAAATACTTACCGAAAGACGATTGCGTATTGGTGATGGACATCGCTTTGCACAAATCGCCCAACGTTAGTCCAACCTCGTTCTCCATTTTCATCCAATTCGAAGAATCGAATCATTATGTTTTCTATGAAAAAATATACAATATTATAATCAAGAATTTATCACTTCCCTTTATAATCAATAGGGTTGATTGTTGAATGACCCACTGCTCAATAACTATTTATAAAATACATACATAAATACTGAAAAAGGTTACATACAAAGAAAACGTTAAGACAATTAACTTTTGAGAATATGATTTTATTTCTATTACAGCCAGAAAGTCGCTTGTGGCTTTATAACTGCAAAGTGGAAAATAGTCACAAAGGCCTTCAGTCTACGAAGCGGACTGTCAAACTACTAATAATAAAATAATTCTTTCATAAACTACGGTTAAACAAACCGACTTGACCCCCCCCCCTTTCTTTGAAGTCTGTTAATTAAACCAAAACCTTCTCCAAAGTGTAACAAACAGTTTTCATATTCGGTTCAGCTAATAGCGAGATAATCATACACATACATACATAGGTACAGGTCAAACTGCGAACCTCATTTTTTTGAAGTCGGAAGGAATACGGTTTAAAAATATGGTAAAATTTTGATATAAACAAGAAGAGACAATACCTACAACAATACGACTTTTAAAGACATAGCAAACATCTTTAAACATATCAAAATACAGCTTAATAAACGAGCGACGTATTACTACCTATATTATGTACAGCAGACTTAGATAAGACCACTATGACGACATCCGTTGTACAGTGATATACATTGAATGTTTACAACTTTATACCAACGACCATTGGGTTTTCCCAAACAATTGTATAATCCATATATTACGAGGGCAAAATAATGAATCTCACACTTAGATAACACATTATTAATACCTACATTATTCACTGATCATGGCTAGAGAGCAAAGTTTATAATTTAATATAAATGTTCTAACGTCGTTCGCCATCAATGTTTTGACTTCCTTGTAGTATAAAATAGGAGACTAAAGAAAATATTTAACTATTTATCTACCACATAACAAACGTCTTCTTTTAAAGGACAAAATAAGGAAGCTATTTATTTATTTGAAACTGTAAGTTAGAACCGGTTGTCATAAGGAAATCTATGACAATCAATAAAGTTATTCACTAAGTTCAAAAATAACTAAGTGTAACTAAGATTTACCAAATCCCTATACCATAATAATATTAAGGTTACCAAATAACCTATCACAGATCAGATATATCTGTTTAAAATTGCGTAAGAATGTAATATGGAACTGTAATTTTAATCAATGATTTTTAATGAAAACTGTTTTACTTACTCTTATTAACTTTTTCCACCAGTATGAAGACATCTTCGCCGCCGGAAGCAATTCCGGACGATCGACTTATACGGCAGATTTTTAAATCGTTAGTCGCAGCACTCTCTGTAAAAATATAATGTTTCAGTACCTCTATAGTGATTTATTAGTTGTTCAGATTTAATAATCACAGTAGTAATATCTAGCTAGGTAGGGTAAGGCATTATTCGATTTTTAATTACGAAATCGTCATCTCAATGTACAATACCTACGTATACTTAGGTAGTTTTTAAAATTCCATGAGAAAAATCTACGTTAGTTAATGCAAAGCACAAGGACATCAACATTATAGATAGTTTAAAAAATAATTCTTTATTTTACTTTAATCCCGTTGGAAATATTTGTAATTGCGGTAAAGCAAGACAAGTTATAGTACCTACAGGTAAATGTGCAAGTGCAAGCAACAAACCACTTTCATGATACACATTTTAGATGCCTAATATTCATAATCTGTTGCGGTTTAAATGACATATAGTTAGGTATACTTACCTAACTAGAGGTGAATTTTGTTTACTTATCAATAAAAAATACGCGTCACTTTAATGCTGATATATATCTAAAAGGGGAAGTCCTTGTGATACGGTTTGAAATAAAACATTGCATACCTATCTATTTTACCAAATAAAGGCGGACTCATATTTATATCCGCCTTAAATGTACAAACGAAATACTCACTCATATTATGAATAGGTTCAGAAAAAACAGGTTCACATATTTCTTGGCCGGTAACTACGTCATGAGCACTGAATTTCAATCGGACGATGTTTAAGTTTATAGTCCTGGCCATACTCTCGCATTGCACTTGAAGCTAAAAAAAAAGAAAAAGAAGTAGGTACATACCGCATTCTTTGCAGAAGAACATAATTTCTATGATAAGTACACGATTTCAATTTTCACTTCACAGGTTTTTAATTTTAATACATAATAATTTTATTTACACATAACATAACATAACATCACGCCTTTTATCCCCGAAGGGGTAGGCAGAGGTGCACATAGAAGTAACACCCACTTTTCACTATTTATGTTATGAGTCCCATGTAATAGGGGGTGAGCCTATTGCCATATACCGGGCACATTTCCAGACTCCGTGCTACTACTGAGATTTTTTAAAAAACCCCAGTAATACTTTGCCCGACCCGGGAATCGAACCCGAGACCCCTTGCCCGGCAGTCGCACTTGCGACCACTCGGCCAATGAGGCAGTAATTTTATTTACTTTTTTTTAAAACAGTCTATGTACCTAATGTGGTTCAAAAATACAATCTGTGCGAGTAGTCACGTTCAGTCCACAAATATAACTGCTGTGCGTTCATTATTATTCAGTGGTAGGGGTAGAGCCGAATTCCCGAAAATATTTAAGTATAACTCTTGGAACTGCTTGACATAAGAATCCTTGGTCTATCTATAACTACATAATATCTACGAACTTAAGACTCAAGTGGCTTTACTTTTTCCTAATACCTACTCCCTATTACAGCAGGCAATATCTACTCACAATTTGAGAAATAACAATATTTATTGGTAAAAAATTATTGCAGTTAATTTGTAAGTAATTATTTAACTTCTTTATCCCCAGTATGATTCATGATATATTAATATTACAATACCGTTTGCCTACGATGTACCTACCTACCTACAGGGAAGCAATTTGACAAAACAAGAAATACATTATTTATTGAAAAATACGAATACATAAACGTAACTAATATCACATCACGCTTGGCATAGTGGATTTGCAACCGAGCGACTGCTGCACAACGTGTCAGAGATTTCGATTCCCGAGCGTGCTCTTTGTGTGATTACAAAATATTGCTGTTTTGGGACTGGATGTGAATTCGCAATGCATAATTGGACCCTGTTAGGCAGAAAAGATCCAGCCCACATTTTATTACTTTTGAGTAAATAAAATTTAATGTTGGGCTGATATTAAAAAAATTATATGACATTTTTGTAATCATATCTAATCATATGATACAGTACCTATTGAATAGGTACTGTACCATACCTATATGATACAGTACCTATTGTACCTATTGAATAGGTACTGTACAATATGATTACTTTAAAAATAATTTACTCAAGAGGAATAAAACGTATCCACGAATAAACCATAGTGAAGGGTATAGGACCACGTTAATAGAAACAAAATAAATAACGTTTATAAAACAAAGGTCCCATTTCAAAGCTTGGTCCCGAGATTTGAAAACAATGCGCTATTACAACCAAACACACACATCCGTTATAGATTGACTTCCCAAAACATTTGCAAGTTTGCATACTAAACATAAACATGTGTAAAAATACTTGGTTATTCCTACTTTTTATAAATAGTGAGTAGGTATATGCGTCACCGCATAAAGGGCTAATAAATAGTGAGAAAGTAATGACAAACTAAGAGTGTACTTACGTCTTTTAAGCTCATATTGGTATTCTTGCATTGTTGAGAGTATTTCTTGAATAAAAGAGCAGCGACATCCTTTTTCGCGGTGTGTATGATACCGATACCACCGAACCTGGTAGAATTAAATTGATAATTAATTATGACGTCATGGCCGGATTGGTTGGAGAAGATAAGGGTAGTCGGTTAGAACTACTTCAGCGTTGATCTAGATGTGGTTGTAAAGGCGTCCAAAACCAAACTTGGGTGCAAATTCTTATTTATTTTGGGCTCGGATGTTTTGGCGCTTAATCTGTCCTTAGACTGATACTACTTATGAGCACCCGATTTTCTTTGTAGCTATGTAGTAAAGGTGTTTGATACATTCTTCAAACCTCGATTCATTCTTTCTAAGCACAACACACGGCAGAATACGAAATTCCATAGTGAAAAACATGTTAAAAAATATGTTACCTGACTTTGTAGCTCCCCTGATCAGGTACTAGGCAACTCATATCTCTGTCCTGTTCATCTTCAAGTAATTTGTGAGGATGTTCCTCTGTGTTGTTGTGTTGAGCTAATCGACATCTTATAAGAGCTTTTCCAGTGTAGTTCAATAGCTGTAAAAAAGGAAAAAATAAGACAAGGCTTAGGGACTCCTGCCATATTGATATGTTAGATGAATACAACATGACATGTCATAACATCATAATACATTTTATAACACATAGCAGGGTTTCCCAAGCTATCGGTCGCGAACCGTTAGTGGGTCGTAACTAGTAAGTCAATTTTTGTGGGCTTTTTAAGGGGGGGAAATCATCGAATGACTGCTCCCGCCTGGGTGAGGCGGAAGGGAGTGTCAGACTCTGACTGACTAAAAACCACCCCGTTCCTTCTCCTGCACGTCGAGCCGGAGCCCCGGTTACCCGTTAGGTTCTCCGCGACTCCGAATCGGCATCGGCCCTATTGGGCCCCATCTGTGGTGGTCTGATGGCTCTTTGAGGCGCGCGCGGAACGCGACGCGCCGTACGCTCGGGTCTGTTTCTGGTCGGACGGGGAGCCACCCATGCTCGCCGTCCGCAGGCCCGCGCTTACGGTGGCCGGAAATCGTCTCGCTATCCCCGACGCCCGGTGTGTCTTTCGCGATGGCTGGGTTGCGAGGAGGCAGCGCTTCGCTGCCTCACGCGTCCCGCCTCCTACTTAGCTAGCATGACTGCTTCGCAAAAGGAGGAGACGGCATTCCGCTACAGTGTGTTCCACCGTGTCCTCAGGGCGGTCCTCGCAGTGATGACACCCGGGCGTTCCCTCCCGCCATTTTTGTGGGCCTTGTCTGTAGGTAGATTGACAAACTAACCAACCGTTCTGTGTTTTACTTTTCATATTGGTAACGGTATAGTTTCCTAAAAGTGGGCCCTGAGTTTTGTAACTTGTAGTCCAGTTTGTAACTTTGGATTAAAGTTAGGAAGTGGGAACACTCTCACTATTGAAGCATTTAACTATAATTTTTTGCCACATTGTGGACAATGTTTTACAATAGTTTCATAGGAATGGACTATCAATGTACATATACCTATATTACTGTTAATTTCTTAGAATGTTTTCTTTATAAAGTACATATTTCTATATTATACTGTTCATTTTCCAATAAGCACTTATAAATTGAAAGTAGGTATACATATATTGTTAGCGATATCAATTATATCAATTGATAGACAAAGACAAAAGGTGATTGATGATAGGATGACGTAGAAGTTGCCCTAGACCACGACTATGAGTGAATGTGCATGTGTAAAGTTCTATGACATCATACTTTCATTTAAATAAAGATATCCCTGACTGGGTAGGTGTTGTATGTGCCTTTTGAGTAGACACCCTTATCCAATGATGAACAAAAATGACTTGGCTAGAGTCATATTTTAAATGAAATTTAACTGCTAGATTGAGTAATGGCATATAAGATTTTGAAAACCCCGTAAGTACCATACACAAACTGTACAAAACAGATTATTGAATGAAACATAAAATTAATTCTGCTGCTACCTTGAATCCACATTTATCCAAGGTTGAAAACTCACACTACTCAAAATATCTGTGAGTAAAAAACTTCCTGATAATGAATCACAGGTAAACCGTTTCTTAAGCATTGACAGGCAGTAACAGGAAAATTGTAATAAAATATAATACCTCCACCGTAGGATGAGTCTTTGTTTTGTTGGTGCCATAAGACTTCCCCAGTAGACATCCATGAGTTCCCACCATCTCGCTCACATATCGAAACCTGAAGTGGTTCTGTGGTTGTTCCGTGATACGCAGACATGGTTTGTTGGCTGCAAACAATAAATTTTAATAAAAAAATAATAAATAATTATTAAGCTATTTCTATAATTGCAGAAATTCCATGTCTTATTCAATATTTAGGAGTAAAATAATTTACACATCTTATTGATGTCTGTTGTTGCCTAACTAGGTATAAAGTCTTTATACTATAAATGGCAATAAATGTTTATATTAGCAGGGCCTAGACTGGCCAGATTAGTTTTGAAATGTGATAAAACTAGGTGAATCCCATAATTAAAAATATGAGTCATCCAATTTGAAGTGATGTAAGATTATAATTATCACATCTTTATATATTTAAATATATAATTTAAATATTTGTTTCAAGTCGGCAATGAAGTTAAGGTACTTTATTATTATTTTTACTGACAAAATGTTTCTAGGTCCTCAAGTTGCAGCTTGCAAGCTTATCAATAATTTTATCAGCAATATATAAAGAACTTTTTGATAAATGAATTAGCAAAATAACAATTACTACTTACCTATTGAGATACACAAAGATTGTCATAATCTTTGTGTTCATAATAAGTTTACAAATTGTACCATCAGGGAGACAAGGTGTCGTGGTAGGGTGTATAGAGGCTTTCACATAATACCTATGTAAGTATAAGTTATAGGACCAAAGTTACACAGAAAACTAGAGTGATAAAAAAACGCTTGCATAGTGTTTTGCCTAATGGAATAGAATAGAAAGTTATTTATTACCCAAGTTCATATGTAACAATAATGTCCACAGGTTAATGTTGTGTTCGACTTATGTTTGTCTGAGAGAGATCTTTATAAGTGTTGCATAGTGTGTGCTGCGAGTTTGTTAGTTTGTGTATATAGGTATAATTTATATAAATTAAATGTGTAGTTCCATATTGCCATATTGTTTTGCCATGCAAGTGGCTGAATGTTCTTAGCGACCCCCCCCCCAACTCAATTTTTTTTAAATTCTTTATTTATTGATATTGGGTTCAAAAGAAAATAGGGATCTACATTAAAATTGTTATTTGCATGTCACATTCATGGTCATCTATTATCCGAACTAAAGTATTATTTTATTTCCTGTTAACAACTCCATTAATAAAAGCGTCATAAACATTATTGCATGCACATCAAAGTATTTATCTTATGTAATGTTTCTTCAAAAATAGTTAACTCACTCTTAAACTAATTTTGAACTCTTTCAACTGTTGTAGTAGTGCATTGCATCATCAATGTTTGAGTTTTATTTTTTAAATCCATAGTTAATGTTCCTCAATGTCCTTGAAAATTATTTCATTTACTTTATAATTAGGTAAAGAATACTAAAACATATCTAATTAACTTTAATAACTTTGGGCCAAAGTAATGTTTAAGATTTCAGACTACTTCTTTCTAGTAACATCACATTTATTAATATCATATAGGTACTAATTTGTTATTTCCATCAAATTTAAGTTTAAGATAAAAATTATCTAGGTGCAATATTTTCTGTACCTACACTCCTAGGTATTTTAGGTACCTACTTTTTAAATCCTTGCACTTACCATGTCTGAAAAACTGTCTCTTATTGTCCGCACAAGTCAACTCAGTAAGATCAGAAGCGAGTTGAGGCACTTGCTGAGATGGAGAACTGTGCGGAGAATACCGAATGTAAGACATTGGAGAGCTGGCGGAATCGCTCATATCGTGGTCACTGGCGCTCGTAGACATTTTCACTATTGAGTGCACTCAACCACAGTAAAATCCACAAACTTTAACGTTTACATATAAAATACAATATTAGCATTAATTCGCACTAAACACAAGATCATTTATTTTTTTAAATTGTTTTGAAGTAACTTTTTACTCAAACTATACGACGCATTTACTGCAAAATGGCATCGAATGTTTATCAACGTTTGACAGCAGACAATGTTGCCAAATGGTATATTAAATTGTCCACACTTTGATCTTCCATTAAACTCCAACAAAAGAAGTTACTACTAAATAATGGGCCTGAACCTGATAATTACACACATTTATCACACACACATTTATGCACATTTATGCTTGTTTGAAATAAATTATTTCGTCCTTTTTTTTTCTATGGAGCCAACTGAGGATACGACATTATGTTCGACATGCTTACAGCTTAGTTTGGAAGAACCGAAATGAGTGATTCAGTAATTCAGTCCAATCCAAGTCAATAGTAGTTTCAACTGCCATCGCGAACATCGCGTCTAACTCTGTGCGTTTCTTATCACCATTGATTTATCGCTTGTCATTCGTAAGTTCAGTGACAAATTTAGTTTCCTTATTCTGAGTGAACGTGAATTCCGGTGATAGAGCAGACTCTGAAGTATTTCTTATCAATACCGTGGATATATATGTCATGGATTAATTATAAGATAAACTATTATCAGGAAAAATTTTTCGTTACAATAGTGTAGTTATTCGCGACTCTACTTACAAGAATTACATAAAATTGTCACCTATGGCACAATTCAACATTTTGTAATTTATTTCCACTAAACCAGGGAAATTTTGTTGAGCTGGTATGACGTAGTATTGAAACGTTGACGTTATCAAACCGGGGAAGAACCAAATGAGTGAGTCACAAAAAATCCCCGAGCACTCTTTGTGTACTTATTATTAGAATGTATCAAAGTGTGTATGTATGTGTATAGGTTATATTATGTATGTATGAGCACGTAGTCACTGTGACTTGTTTTCGTTTCGTTTATTACTTAATACGAGAGATGGCAGTTATTTCCAAGAACTGAGTTTCATTAATATCACAACGCAACTAACTTGGTACTGTGTACTGTTCTATTTATTTACTGTTGAAGAGTTAGTTCTTTATGAATGCGTTAATCTCTAGAACTAGTATTTTTATGTTAGAAACTCGTACTCCATTTGTCGAGGAAGGCTATAGTCCATCTTGCTACGATTGATAGGAGCTGAGCAGCGGACGAAACCACGTGGTAATAGGTTATAAGTTTATAAAATGGTACTGTGCTAGTAGTGGCAAATTTCACCAAAGTTGGCGCATTTAATATACGTGGTATACCACTGCCAACACCATTTCTTAAATTCGACACAAAAAAAATGTTAATGATACTCTGTGTCGAACAATTTATTTGGACTTACTAAAATTTCTTATAGTGTATCAAAGCGCACCTAAAAACCTTATATCCACTAGGTAACACTTTGCACGCGACATATCGTCATGTTGCTAAACATGTTGGTAAACAGAGAGGATCTCTGGTTATACCACATCATCTGTGTAGTCATGATTCACTTGCAGCATTCATCGGCTACGGTGAAGGAAAACTTCGTGAGGAAACCTAGGCTTATAATTTGTAATTATAAGTTTGTAATCGCCAACTCGCATTGAGCCAGCGTGGTGATTAATGCTCAAACCTTCTCCGTGTGAGAAGAGGCTTTGGTCAGCAGTGGGCATTTATAGGCTGTTGATGATAATGATCATTTGTCGGCAATATTGTTGCAAGAGGAACAAATGTTATGGATCATATCACTAAAGAACAATAGATGTTGAGATGTGAAAGCCAAAAGACTGGTACAGGGTGTACTTTTTGTGGATCACACATTTCCCTACACTTATTATACTCTTTGATCACACATAACTCATTGTAGAGGTAATTTAAAAACTATTATGAAATGGATTTTGTTATATTTTTTGGCTGTTGTAGATTTTTTTATATGATTCAGCTGGAACTTTGCTGATCACCTGGTGCCACTTGATCGTCGACTTTAGGGACAGTCTGTATGTATATATATTTCTGTGTATACTATGTGACAATAGGTTCTATAGAAGTATAGACTCATATATTTAGCAGTACTTCAATGTTTTTTCTTTAAATATTCTCTGGTTAGACAAATTATTGCAGTTTACAGTCAAGTTTAAAGGGTCAAATAAATAAAACTGAAGCTCAAGTGATATTAAATATAAACACATTTATTCTAAAAATACAACATTTTCAAAATATATTTTAGCAAACAACGAACAGGAATAAAAAACATTCTACTAAAAATGCATTCTTTTTAATATGGAATGATTTCATCACTCTTTTGTATCTTTACATTTTTTTTAACCAAGCGTGTAACCTAAGCCGATACATTGATAAGATATTTAACAAATAATAATCTTAATCTTACAGCAACTTCAACCTTAGATCTAATTCGTAAAAGTATAAATGTTATCAAATCTTAACAACAACATGATTATGTTTTGATTCACAATTAACAAATGTAAAAAAATGTATGAGCAACTCATTTTGAAATAATAATTTTATCTATGTATAATATAACTGATCAGTATCATCACATTCGAGATAATAATTTATTTCAATTTCATGGTATTATTATTATATAGAATTATGGATGGAGATTGTACCTCCCAATGCAGTTATCGATAATGTCACTTATTGCTGAAGGCAAAGGTATAAAACCGTTTCAACTGTTATGGTCATGCTTAACGTTTCAAACGTCGACATCATCTACACTTAGAGCAATTGGGTAGTTTCCAGGGTATCAAAATCAAAAATCTAATTAGTCCGTCAGTTACATAATGAAAAAATTTTAGACACGTATTTTTTTATTTTCTCGTATCAATTTGCAATACTTAGATAAGGTGGCGCTAAGTTTAAGAGTGGGAGGTTGTTACATCATAACGTGCTACAAAATGTGACACGCTATGACGTCACACGATATTTCAAATTAATATATCGTCGAAGGTATTTAATTTTGTGAGAAAATAAAAATGTTTAAATTAATCTACCAAACGGACATTAAAATAAAATTTAGGAAACTACCCTATTCCTAAGTCACCTGCGAAGCGCGAGAATAATCCTCATCCTTGCAGACCTTATTCAATAGTGGACATATTACAGCTGACGACGATGTACGTTCCATCGACGTTTGTGAACCCTATTAACCCTCTACCATGACTTTAGAGCAATATTATGGATACCCAATAATGGTGACGTAAATGCATGTCAAATTTTAGTTCTATAAGCGAACACTAGAGGGCTGTGGTGTAAAAGAAATACTACAGTTTTAAATTCATGTTAGAGGTACAGAATTCACAAGAATTCAGTTTCATACCAGCCTCAAGTGTTTCAATGTAATCTCTATTAATGGTGGAAGAGCCTGAGGTTGGTGTGTGCAAGCACAATTTTGTGCTCATTGCAAGCTTCAATCACTTCTTGGTCGTTGTTCGAGCCTGATGGACTGCCAATGTATTCGACTCCACACTGTAATAGAAATTTAATTAATTAACACATTACAAAAATCAAATCTTATTAAGATATCTCGACTTGAACATTTGGAAAAACGTGAGCCTTGTTTTCTATCTTCGAAAATTTTAATGTTTTCAGTCAATAAATGCGAAACATTTGTTACCGTATGTATACTGTCACGAATATCCTTACTTATATTATAAATCGGAAAGTAAGTTTGTTTGTTTGTTCCGCCTTCACGCCGTAACTACTAGACCGATTGCTTTAAAATTTTGCAGACGTAAAGTTAGAAGTCTGGATTAAATAATAGGGTACTTTTTATCCCGGAAAAAATTGATATTCCTGAGGAAAAACAAAAGTATCGGTATAGATGGCGCTGTGCGTATTGGTATGTCACATAGGCTATTTTTTATTCTTTTGTGATGCGAGCGAAGCCGCTGGTAAAAGCTAGTAAGATAATAATACAGTCTGATTATCTACAGAATAACAAAGAAGTTGTTTACTTCCCCAATATTCCGCTGTCATGGGATATTTTCAAGAAGCACGTGATCAAAGTCTCTAGAAGACGTTAGTGTCAGATAAACTCTTTGCCACTGACCTGCACAGCTCTGTCGATGTTGTCACGGAATGGGAAGAAAGCATCCGAAGCTAGAGCCACGCGGTCCATTTTGCTGACCCATTCAGTGCGTTCCTGCTCAGTCAGTAAAGCAGGAGCTTGCCCATCGAATAAGGTGTTCCATTGCTCCAAAGGAAGGTCTGAACCTGAATTAATTAAAATCATTCTTTATTCATTTTTTTTCACATCACAGACTCGGAACAACAATTTGTGATCCACACATATACAAGTCGCTAATTGTATAGGAAAAGTACAGGTAGCTTATCAGTTAATCAGTCACACAATTATCGTTATTATTCTATTAGGATTTCCTATATGTCAACATGAAAGTATGTAAGGATGGATGTATTACTTTGTATGTTTGTTGCTCTCCCATGCAAAAAATGCTGAATAGAGTTGAGCGAGATTGGCGCAGAGATAAATAATAGTCTGGGATAACAGATAACACATCAGTGACCTTTAGCTGGCGCAAACGGGTGAAGCCGCTGGCAGAAGATATAGGTATATAATACATATAGATATATACTAACCAATAGTGCCATTAACGTAGTTGTCGATAGCATTAGATTGCACGGCGCGGGTGACGCCTTGCTTGAACTTCATGGCGAGCACTCGAGGGTGTCGCCTCATCCACCACAGCGCCGCCTTGCCTCCCGCCAGCCGAGTGCAGTGGATGCGAGACTGTTGTCCTGCACCAATACCTACAACCTGAAACATAAATAATAAATCAATCGCCTGTTAAATCTTTCTTGAAGAGCTTTTTGTAAGTACCTATCGTTGAGTCGACTAAGAGACTATATATTTAACAGAGACTGATGTCCAAATACTCAAATGTTACTGAATTTAAAGCCGTGCTTAAGTATATTTCTGTCACTACAGAGTCTTTGTAAAATGACAGAGATGGCACGATATTTAAGTACTACTTAAAATTGAGTAGCCTTTCAGTATTCGGAAGTGAGAAGCTGAATTTTGATAATCCTGAACCATTTAAAATGTTGCAATCCACCAAATGCAGAGTACATAGTTATCAGTTATTTGGTAGTTATAATGTAACGAAAAGTCAGTAGATGCTTCATTGCTCTTACCTGTCCATCTCTAGCGTAGCAGACAGAATTACTCTGGGTGTATTTCAAAGCAATAGTAGCTACAATAAGATCTCTGACAGCATTCTCGGGTAGGACATTGTTTTTAGTAACGACATTCTTGAACAAGTCCCCTGTAATCTTAGCATCGTTGCGTTTTTGTTCTAAAGTGAGACCGAAGATAGTCTTCTGTTCCATAAGATCTGGCTCGTAACTAGGGTCCATCTGGAAAAAAAATATTTTGTTGATTTAAGTATGATGATTTATTGTGTCGTGGTGGCCCGGAGGTTTAAGACGCCCGCTTTTCACGCATGAGGGTGCAGGTTCGAAACCTACCAACGGCAAGTACCAATGTGACTTTTTCCGAGTTATATGTACTTTCTAAGATTATTTAGACACCACTGACAAACGGTGAAGGAATAACATCGTGAGGAAACCTGGACTTATAATTTCTAATTATAAGTTTGAAATCGCCAACTCGCATTGAGCAAGCGTGGTGATTAATGCTCAAACCTTCTCCGTGTGAGAAGAGGCTTTGCTCAGCAGTGGGCATTTATAGGCTGTTGATGATGATGATGATGATTTATTGTTTCGACTTTTGATGAAGAGTTAGACAAAACTAACCACAAACTACAGTAATTTTTTTACACATTCTGATGATTTCATTACAGACCATGCAATACAAGTATAAGACAATTCACCTGCAAAACGCAGTAGCTACCACCCTTCTTCTTTTTAAGTATTTCTAAGGCTTCAGGGGTGTATCCAGGTGCGACGATTCCGTCTGAGACCTCTCGTGAGATGATACGGGCGGTGATGGCGTCGCATTCGTCAGATATAGCTACGAAGTCACCGAATGAACTCATGCGGTCTGCGCCACGCGCGCGAGCATACGCGCTCGCCACCGGAGTCAAGTTCGGGAGAAGATCAGCCACCATACATACAGACGCCTGAAAACATATTGATTGTAGATTTTATTTTATAACAAGCTTTTGATCATGTTCTCTCACTTTTATGCGAAAGTAATAAGGACCATTTTCTTCTATCACAAATTTCTTGCGCAACGTTATTGTTTCCAATCAGTGGGCTGTTAAGGGCTGTTGATTATTGAATTTAAAGTATAAATTTACCTCTTCTTGAGTCAGAGGCAATCCAACAGCGGCGCCAGCGGGCGATACATGTTTGAAGCTGGTGGCTGCGGGCAAGCCGAGGGCTTCCTTCAATTCCTTCACCAACTGCCACGCGTTCAGTGCATCACATAAGTTGATGAAGCCAGGAGAACCGTTCAGAGTTGTTAGAGGCAGTTTGTCGCGCGTCGTGAACACTTGAGCTGGTTTCTGATGTGGGTTCATACCTGGGTAGGATTAAGTAATTTACATATTACGTGTGTATTTTATTTGCACTTCAAGGCATAACTGCACATAATAAATGTTTCACCTGTTATTTCATAAGTACATATCTTATACTACTAAAAAACTTTCGGGAAACCAAACTACATAAAAATACTTTGACTCGGGAATCAAACCCGAGAACTCTTGTTCGGCAGTATCGCAGGCAATTTAACTCTGTATAAACTATTTCCTTTTTGATATCGGAAAGTAATAATAAAAGCGGTAATTAAGTATTCAGTAAGTTATCAGCTAAAATAATATTTTCTTACCATATCTCAAGGTCAGTTGTGACTGTCCTGCAGAATACTGTCTGCGGAAATAGTCTGTGATAGCGAGATCATACTCCGATGTATGTGTGAAAGCCTTAAGAGCAAGTCGCTTCCTATGAACGGAAAAACATTAAATGTATGTTAGTTTTATTATTAAATATTTAATAAACTACACAGGTAGTGTACATTTCATATCGCTTCCAACTGGCTAATACAGGCCAGTGGTCATTGGGGAAATATGTTCAGCATAGAATGTTCAATTTTTTTCTGAAAGGGTAAAAGATGGTAACATTACATCACGCCTTTTATCCCCGAAGGTGTAGGCAGAGGTGCACATTACGGCACTTAATGTCACTATACAACGTAACACCCACTTTTCACTATTTATGTTATGAGTCCAATGTAATAAGAGGTGAGCTTATTGCCGTATACCGGGCACATTTCCGGATTCCGTGCTACTACTGAGGTTTCTACAAACCCAGTAATACTTTGCCCGACTCGGGAATCGAACCCGAGACCACGGCCCGGCAGTCGCACTCAACCAATGAGGCAGTCATTTTTATGAAACTGAACTAATAAGTAGAGCTAAAAGAAATAAAAACTCAAGTATTTACAACTAAAATTAACATAAGATAAAAAGAAAAATACGATAGAGGAAAAATATACAATATTTATTTATTTATTTATCTTTATTGGCCCACCAACAATTGTATACATTCTTACATTAAATAACAAACATTTAATTAAGATAACAGTAAAATGTTACAATCGATTACAGGCGAGCACCGCATTCTTTAAGAAAAAATAAATAAATATCAATAATTGGATACAAAATTAGAATACAAGATGTTGGCTAAAAAATCAAATTAAGTCGCATTAATTTACATTAATAAATTAGCAATAAATTAATTGGAGGAAAAGAAAACGCTGCAATAGAATATAAAACTAAAGCCAAAATTAAAATTAAAATCAAAATCAAAATCAAAATAAAATTAAAATCAAAATCAAAATCAAAATTAAAATTAAAATTAAAATCAAAATCAAAATCAAAATCAAAATTAAAATTAAAATCAAAATCAAAATCAAAATCAAAATCAAAATCAAAATCAAATCAAAATCAAAATTAAAATCAAAATTAAAATATACATAATTATACACATTATCTACTTATACAAAAAATAGTAGATAGTTAGCAAATGTTTACCTGGTACTTTCCCTGATTACAAGTAAGACCTGATAATAACATATAGTTTAAAATAAATATAATTTTATTTCATATACAGAATGTATCAAATTGTTACGATTGTTGAGCAATAGGTACTAATTTTTCTTTGCACTGATAACTTCAATATTTTCAGAATAATGCTAGGCTTTTCACAGACAACAAAAATGTTTATTTACTTTTTTTAAAGGGTTTGTTGTTTTGAAGAGGAATCATTTTAGTTATGGATGGAAGTCCCAAGGAAGTTGAAAGTTGTGGTTTCTTGGAATTCGAAAGGAAAAAACTCATGTTGTAAGAAGGCCTATCGCCTAATCTTTTATCGTCCAGCTTTGAAACACCTTGTATATTTATAGGATTGTTAACTACAATATCAGTCAAACGATAAACATCTAATCGCACGTGTAAGTAGGTAGACAGGAGGAGCGGGTAGTATACACATAAAGATAATAATAATAACTGGGCATAACCGGTTTTTTGCAGTTATTATTTTGAATAGTAACATAGTCCCCAATAAAAGATTGTAGGTTGCCGATAATTATTCTATTAATGTCAAGATGATTACTACCTACTAATAACTTTATGATCACTCGAGTACAATATAAGTATAGGTTATCAATTTATCATAAACCTATATAAAATTAGGTTAAGATTGAATCAAACAAATATCTTTTCTCTTCACTGGTTACTCGGCACCGACTATCCGGAAATCGCAACGTGTTGAAAGGGCCTTATAGTATTTAATTAAAGAGTCAAATAAGGTTGACTTACCTAGTATCCAAAGAGGTCTGATGGTCGTTGTTTTGTTTTAATTCTTGCATGACTGCATCATAGTCGTTGGGATCACAGATAATAGTTACTCTGTCATGATTCTTAGCCGCCGCACGGAGTAAGGTCACGCCTCCAATGTCGATGTTCTCAACAGCATCAGCAATAGTAACACCAGGTTTTGATACAGTTTGAACGAAAGGATATAAGTTGCAGACGACGACGCTTATCATGTCGAAGTTCTGACGTTTCATGTCCTCCTGGTCAGATGGGATAGCCCTGAAAGAATTGTGAATATTGGAGTATATAGATTCGTACATAAATAAGTAGGTAGTTTCAACTGGACCAAAAAGCTTAATCTTTAGACAGCATTGTAATCTAACCTAACGATTTATTGTCTGATGTCATCTATCCTAAACGGATCTAAGTTATTAAGTAATTTTAATGGAAGGTTGCCTATTCATACGCTTACCTAGACAGAATACCAGCATGGACAGCAGGGTGTAGGGTCTTTACTCGTCCTCCAAGCATTTCGGGGGCCTTGGTAATGTCAGAAACCTCTGTGACGGCGAGGCCAGCATTGCGGATAGCTGTGGCTGTACCACCGCTGGCAACGAGCCCCAACCCAATCTCGGATAAGCATTTTGCTAAAGGTAACAAGCCTGTCTTATCCGACACGCTTAGAAGAGCTGTGGACAAAGTATTAAACAATTATTAGTTGAAGACAAAAACTATTCAAGGTCAAGTCAATTAATTCTTCAGTCGATTGTACTTTATTATCACTTTACTATTCGACCTTAACTGAACTAATGAATTTATTGAACTGCTAACAATAAAAGTAACAACGATTCGAATAACCAAGTACTTAGTCACAGTTTTTAAAAGTTGTATTGTTTTACATTAGGTTAGACTGAACTGAGGCGCAGTCAGTTCTGGCACCGCCTTTATCATGGGACTCGGGACACGTGCCTAGGGCCCCCATCCTCAGGGCTCCCGAAGGAACGACAATTTCTACGACAGACACACAACCGCTACACGTTGCGCGGTAACCGACTCCCGGGTAACGCATAGCGGGTTGGATTCCCCCACAGAGCAAATCTTTGTGTGATTCACAAATTGTGGTTTCGGGTCTGGGTGTCATGTGTGTGTCAATATGAATTCGTATGTTTGTAAACGCACTCACGATACAGGAGAAAAACTTAGTCTGGGGTAAATGAACCTACGTCAAAAAAGAAATATTGGAAAAGGCAACTAGTAATCTAACACGGCCCTGGGCGCAGTGTAAGTGAAGTGTTACTAAATTAACCCACGCACAGGAGAAAATACTATAGTTGGGCAGTTTTTTTAAACATGATGATGTGGCCTAAAATATGGTAGAAAATTGGTAGCCTTTAATCTTATAACATATTTCAAAACAAATATTTTTTATTTTATAAACTTACCTAGTTTTCCATTAGCAGCCATGTTGTGTTCTTCTTATGAATAACTTGATTGTAATGACGAAAATGATAATTGTTCTTAGTGAGCTTATATTAGCTGCGTCCAGTTGACCTTACGCAGGGGTCCTGATAACAACACAATCTTGTTTACCAGAGATGTAGGGTTGTCAATTGAAAGACAAGTTACAATGATAAGTATGTCCTAGACTATGTACAATCTTAAACATTCATTGGTATGATCGGGTGCGCAATACGGAAGTATTGAGCCGGGCCAATGTGGGAGGCATCGAGTCGTACCTCATGTGAAGACAAGCTCGGTGGTGCGGCCATGTGGCGCACATGTCAGAGCAGAGAGTGGCGAAGTCCATCCTTTATTCAGAGCTTCAAGAGGGCAAGCGAAAGCATGGCGGACAACTCTTAAGAATTAAGGATGTGCATAAGCGACACATGAAGGCGTGTGACATAGATTCATCTCGGTGGGAAGAGCTTGCATCGAATCGTAGCCGAAACCGGCATACAGGATTAGAGATTAGAGATGTCCTAGACGTATAGAATTTTGAAAAAAAATTGTAAAGCCAAAATTGATTAAGTACCTATGTACTTTTTTGTTTGTACTGAATTTTATGTATTGTACTGCAGGGCAAAGGCCTGCAGTGCCATGGATTAATTAGTGCCTAATTAATCCATTTTATCCATTTTCAATTCCATTTTATCCAATGACTAAATCATAAAAAATATAATAGAATGTGTATAATAAGTACAAGAATAAATAAATAATAAAAAAATGACAACCCTATTAAAATTGATTACTGTGATGTAAATAACTAGAGTTATTGCTCTTTGATAGTGACAACAGCTGAAAACGAACAAACAAGACTTTCGATACCACCTACGTAAATGTTCTTACGTACTTACATCAATAATTTATCTTGAAATTATTTTATGAAAACAAAAATATGATAAGTTTGCTTTTTTGTTGTTCATTACTAAAGTTGAATAGTCTGAAGTTACAAGGTTTACTCAACTTGAAATAAATAGATTTTTCATCTTTATTTTTTTTATCTGTTCTGTAAAACTGGAGTTTTTTAACACACCATGGAAGCACTTTTTTTTCTTTTTTTATAACGGGATGGAAATCCTCATGTACTTCCCGCGTCGTGGGCACGACAGGGGGTGTGTCAGATTGTAACCGGCTAAATCCACCGCGGTGTTCCTCCTCTGCCTGTGGCCGTGACCCGGGACGGTGCAAGGCCGTCCCGGGTCACGGCCACAGGCAGAATTCACCGCACCCGGTAGGCCTCGATCTACCGCTACTACTAGAGTGGACGACTGACTCCCCTAGTCAGGCCTTTTTATGGAGGTCGCAGATCGGCTACCATCTCGCAGCGTTGACCGGCGCGTCTACGGTAGGAAGGCCACAGAAGCACTTACAAAAATATTTTTTGAATATCATAGGTGCCTTATGATAAAATGCAGGTCTATATGAAGTTAAGATGTACTATAATAATGAAGAATATAAACTATAATAAAATAGTAAACAAGTTACCTATTTATCAATAGAAAAAGATTGGATGAGTAGATTTTTTTAGGATAACAAACATTATTTACATGAATCTTAGAGTTAGAGCCACTTTTTGCCATTGTTTAATTAAAGTGTGACATTAACCCATAAAACCCCAAGCGGTCACCGGTGACCGCTCTCCCCTAATATTACATTACATTATAGACCTTATTTCCAATCTTTAGAGACTACTTTTGTATGACCAAATTTAGGGGATGGATTTCAACGGGTTAAGACTTAAACTAATCAGTTACGCAATTGTTTCAGTGCAAAATATAGTAAACCAATCAGTAATTACCTAGTACATTTATTTTTTACCTATTATTTTTTGAATTAAAAATTCTGTTCAGAAACAATTACAAAACTGCATTTTCATTTTTACTTGGGCAATTTAAAAAATATAATATATTTACATGGGTAGTTACTATCTGGAGCTACGGGCAACCAACCAGGTAACTGGGGTTTCAGCTCAAAGCAGGAGCAGGGTGGGAGAAGTCATTTGATGATTTCCCCAAAAAGAGTAGTAAACACATCAAAAGTTTCTATACTTAGCATACTGCCTAATTTTTTAAGTTAGGTACCTAAGTCAAATTATTTCTCTGTTTGATTTTAGTATTTAGTCCAACTGGATTCAAGTTGGATTCATGATTAATGTGTTTTTTTAGTATTTAGTCCAACTGGATTCAAGGTGGATTCATGATTAATGTGTTTTCATACAGTAACTTAGGTGTTGTGTTTAAGTGTAAACTTCTAAACCTAAGGTTGCTGGTCTGTTCGTTCCTGGTGTTTGTGCAGAGAAATAGCTGAATTTGGATGCTTATGTATAAGAATATATTTTTAATTGACATAAGAATGACATAAGAAAGAAGAAGGTATGTGATATTAGTAATTATTTGCATGAAGTATTGAAATTACATGCAACATCTTATATGAAATAATGTTATTAAGTACTTTATAATTTTGGCTTGTAAAATTTATAGGAAGGTAAAAATATTTAGATCCATTATATCAAGATATTTTTCCTCATTAAAGTCATACTAGCTTCTGCCAGCGGCATTGCCTGTGGTATAAAATGTAACCTCAGTGTGGATCCAGATCATAATCTAAGTATGCCTTCAGCTGTTTTCATATAATAGAGTAACAAATACACAAACACACACATTCTAATATTAGTATAGAAATACATATTATATAGACACCAAGGTAAATCTTGAAAGGTTATGTTTCGAAAATCACATGGGTGTTGTGTTTATTATAATGTAAGTCCAACAATAATTATTCTAATAGGTACTATTTTAGCGTATTTGTGTATTTTACTAATAAATTGAGAATACTTACCCTGTATTAAGTTAAGGTTTTCAAAATAATTAGTAATCAAAAACGACAGGACCTTCGATTCATTCAAAACAAATACATATCCGAAATCAGAAATCCGGGCCGGACGATTTTTGACGGACGATTATCTACGAAACGAAACCAAAGATTTGTCAGCTGTCATATATTACGTTTTATTTTACGTCCAGGTCCACATTTAATCTGATTTGTAAACAACTGTTTATTAACTTGTAACATAATTAGAATGGTAGGTGTATACGATGTTAATCGCTTACAAGCGAATGTCCTGGTAATAAACCAGGTGATTCGCTTGTTTCTTTTACCCCTATCCTATGGTATTAATATACAAAATACACTTTAATTTTAGTTATTGCTTTGTGGTGCGGTTGACATTTCGGCAGACCAGTAGTTGTCAATAGATTGATAGTGACTATCAAACTGTCAACTTTGACAAGCACAAGTGTCCGAATCCGAAAGAAAAGCGTGCGTTGTGTTATTTTTTGGTTATGTTGTGATTGAATTGTGTGTATTTTCTGAGAAGAAAATGTCTGAACAAGCTGTAACTAAACCAGCAGGAAAAAGTTGGCGTGAAATAAATCAAGAAAGAAAGGCTTTGAAGCGTCAACGAAATGAAGAAAAAATTATTAAACGTGAAAAAAGAGTCGCACTAGATCGTGAAGCTGAAACTAAAGTACAAGAAGAGATTGCACGAGAAAAGAAAAATGCTGAAATTTCTACTGTTAGTATAGCCATCCCTGGCTCCATACTGGAAAATGCTCAATCTGCTGAGTTGCGTACATATTTAGCTGGTCAAATTGCGAGAGCTGCTTGTGTATTTTGTGTAGACGAAGTTATTGTGTATGATGATGTTGGAGAAAAATTAAACACTAAAAAGTCAAAACTTGAAGATGGTGATGGAGTGGTTGTTGCACGCAAAAGTTGTGTTCAGTTGGCACGCATTTTACAATACCTTGAGTGTCCACAGTATCTACGGAAGCATTTCTTTCCTTTACACAAAGATTTGGAATTTGCTGGGTTGCTTAATCCTCTAGATGCTCCACATCATTTAAGGATGTCAAATGATTTTCAGTTTAGGTAAGTAAGAATAAGATAGTTATGATTACGATATACAATATAGTTTTGATTACGAAGAATTTGTTTTTAATAAATTCTTATTTACAGGGAGGGCATAACTATGAACAAAAAAACAAAGCCAGGTCGAGGTTCTCAGGTGAATGTTGGATTACTTCAAGATATTTCTACAGATAAGTTACTGAATCCTGGTATCAGAGTTACAGTCAGAATGCTTCCGACTCAAGAGGGTGGCAAGAAGCTGAAAGGAAAAATTGTTAGTCTCACCACCCCAAGAGCTGAAACAGGAGTGTACTGGGGTTATACTGTCAGGATAGCTAATAATCTAAGTCAAGTCTTTACACAAAGCCCTTACAAAGATGGGTAAGAAGAATAATAATTTTACTTTACTAAGATTTTAAAATTTTACTAAGATTTTGATGAAGTCTAAAATAAAATCAATAATAACTGCTGTTTGTTTCATTTCAGGTATGATTTAACAATTGGAACTTCTGATAAAGGCTCACCTATTGAAGAATTGCCAGATAAAGAGGTTAGATATAACCATGCATTAATAGTCTTCGGAGGTTTACACGGTATTGAAGCAGCTTTGGAAAGTGATGAACAATTAAAAGCTGAAGAAGCTAGTTTGTTGTTCAATCACTATATTAATGTTTTACCTAATCAAGGTTCTAGAACAATCAGGACTGAAGAAGCTGTTCTCATTACTATGGCAGGTCTTAGAAATAAACTGAAGGCTAATAATGAGCCAATGGTTTTCACTGGCACTGGAATCGCCCAGAGTTCATCATTCCCAACCTCTAAACCAGAATTGTCAGATTCTGGTACTGATAACAATATAGATTTAAGCAGATTTGACTAATAATAATAAACAAATATTAATAACATTTTGATATTTTATTTCTGTAAAACAGTAGAAAAATATTTTTTTAACCTTTATGTGTAATGGAAGACCTCATTTAAACTTATTTGGAATGTGTTCTAGTTTTTGTTAATAGCTTGTTGAACGGTTTCCCGAAGTGATCTGATAGTTGCTGCTTGATCTGCAGCTCCTATCACAGCTGTTCCAGATACAATCATATTTGCCCCAGCCTAAAATAAAAATAATAAAATTTTAATTGGAAGATTTGAGGTTGTTTTAGTCTATGTATTTTGTGTTTGAACAGCTGTAATGTCATAACTTTTACTTACATTAGCACAGCAACTTATCGTTGCTGGTCCTACACCACCATCAACTTCAATATCTAGCAGTGGATATTGTCCTCTCAAATATTTTACTTTAGCCATTTGATTCTCCATGAACTTTTGTCCTCCAAAGCCTGGCTCTACTGTCATGATAAGTACCATATCAGACATAGAAATGTACCTTTCAACCTCAGTTACCGGTGTCCCTGGTTTGATAGCAAGACCCACCTAGAAATTAAATACCTACATATTAGGAAGACTGAAATACATAAATAGGTATTTTTAATTCTGAAATTAATCACTTTTATATTGAAATTGTAAAAAAGCCAATTAGACAAGCAACTTACCTTCATGCCATTTTCCCTTATTTTTCTACAAACTTCTGCAACATTGTCAACTGGTTCAATGTGAAATGTATATTGGTTAACTCCAGCGTCTGCCATTGGAATTATCCACTGGAAATATAAGAAGTTTATTGATTTACATAAGGTGTAAGGTAGAAAATATATTAAAACTACGAAGCTTTCTGAGAAAGAACGGTAAACAAACTAAGATAAACTAACCTGTTCAGGGTTTGAAACCATCATGTGAGTTTCAAAAAATACATCTTTGATTTTGTTGCGTAAGCACTTCACGACAGGGTGGCCCAACGTTAGATTAGGTACAAAGTGACCATCCATTACGTCCAAATGTAAATAATCAGCACCATTATCCAAAAGTTTTTGAGATTCTTCATAAAGCCTTGATAAATCTGAATTCAGAATAGAAGGGCCAATCAATGCTTTTAGGCTTCGGCTCATTTTTAATATTTTTATTTCTTAAATGAGTTAAAAAATAAAATGATCACTTGACTAACTCAACCAAACAAAAAAATAGAGGTGACACTACGCTAACAGAGGTTATCAATTTGCGCGCCGGTTGTTAAAAATATTACGCTCCGTGTTACGTTACTTAAACATTACATTTCTTACATTAGAAACTTACAACACATAATACTGACTTTAGGCTATGCTTAGGTATTTTTAAAATATCTTATTTATATTTGGAAAACAATAAAATATAAACAAGTTTACATAAAGAAAACATTGTTTAAGTATGTTAAACGCAAGGTTAAACGGTTTTAATGAGTTATGAGTTCAGTACATTCTAACAATCCTTTTGTAACGTCAACGTTAAAAAGTCCTTTCATTTCAAGGACGTTGAAATTGATTGCAACAAAATCCATAAACGGTAACATTAGGTAGGATCTGAAACTTAGGTATATGGCACACTGATAAGGTTTTTTTTAAGGGGCAAAATCATCGAATGACTGCGCCTGGGTGAGGCGGGAGGGAGTGTCAGACTCTTACCTACTGACTAAAAACCACCTCGTTCCTTCTCCTGCACGTCGAGCCGGAGCCCAGGTAACCCGTTATATAACAGGGATAGGTAGTAGATAGCAGGCTCATACTGGTGTTCAACATATCTATGAATTAAATCCTAAACACCCTTGTTCATCATCCACCCATCATCTTTGTTTGAATACTTGTACCTATGGATTCGGATAGTACCTACCTAACACAGAGAAAATTTGAAACCACAAGAATTTCTTTTGGACTTTGAAAATGTGATACCTAGCCAGGTACTCACCTACCTAATTAATTCTTATTATACCTTTTTTTTAAGGGGGAAAATCATCCAATGACTTCTCCCGCCCGGGTGAGGCGGGAGGGAGTGTCAGACTCTTACTGACTAAAAACCAACCCTGATCCTACTCCTGCACTTCGAGCCGGAGCGTAGGTACCTGCCTACTTACCTACAGGCGAGCGAAACTAGCAAACGTACTTAAGTAACCTTTTTGAATTTAGGTATAATCGAAGCCATCTGGAGCTAACTAGGTACCCACTTCATTTTTTAACATTTTTTTATCTACCTGAACTATGTTGACGTTCGCGAACATAATTCTATTAATTATTGCATCTGGTACATTTTTATCGACATGCATAGCAAAAGATTATTGTAGTAGTGACTATTGCAATAATAGCAAGCAGCATACTCTGTGTAAATATCGGGTAAGACATTAATTATTATTAGGTCCTCCTAATGTCATCCTATGTAATGACATCAAAGCATAGGGCGACACAGGCCACTAGTATCGGATCGCCTGGTGCTCGTGTTGCTATATGCATCAAAGTAATCGAAATGCCAAGATTAAGAAGAGAATTCACGCAATATTTGTTTTTGTTTTGACCCATTGTGCTAAGTTACCTACTTTAAAAACCGGTTAAGTATCTTCTACTAGTAACAAATAGCGACCTGTACTAATTACACTTGTTTTTTATCTTTATAACACTTATATTTTGCTATCATACTTAGTCAAAGGAGCCAGCCAGTCACTGCACAGCTTACGAAAAAACAATTTTGAGCGAAAATGACAAAATAAATATTTTAGACAAAATTAACAGTCGACGTAATAAAGTCGCTGCCGGTGAAATACGGTCACTACCGTCCGCTGGAAGTATGCTGAAATTGGTAAATTGATTTCTGTCTTTTATATAAAATTCTTAAGTAGGTACTTAGACTTACCTATATATTAAATATCTAGAAAATTTCGAGAATGTTACAATACAATTCAAAATTTTGTTGGCCCTACCCAATTATATGAGAAGAATAAAAATAAAAATGACTTCTTTAAAGAAATCAATGAGAATTTATTTATTCTAGTCTACCTATAGTTTTCGAATTGGACATAGGTAACAGCAAAACAGCTAAATCCTGTAATAGCATCTACATTACAGAGTTCTTGATGAGTGGAAGGCGTTATATTGTTTGAATTTAAATAAGTATGTAGATTAAATATAATGCATTAGTTAAATTAATACACACGTAATTAAACAAAGCCCGAAGGCGTAAGTCTGTTATGTTATGAGTCCTATTTAATAAGAGACTAGGCACAAGTGTCCAATTGTAACAAAACCCGATTATGCTACTCGTTTTTATGGCCGACTAGGAACTCAAGTGTGCAAGTATTTTAAAGATCGAGATACTCATTTTATTTGATTCAAAGAAGTATGCACTTATTTCAATTTCTTTTTTATTTTAGTTAGAGGCTTTTAACCAATAGTCTATGTCAGCCCCACCCTATTGTAACCCAAACTTTTCTATCTAAAATCTTTTTAACTTTACAAAATAAAAACGATATATTTTGTTCTTATTTTATGATCGATTCCAAGCGGATGATCTGTTAGTCATTATAAAAAGGTTTTGTTTAGTAATGGCTGATTATGATGATGATATGATTGATATCTTATATGTGCGACACATTTACCTAGGTGTGGAACAGGGAGTTAGAGTTTCAGCACAGCGGTGGGCAGACCAATGCGTTAAACATAACGTTCCAGATATTCAAGACACTTGTCGAGATTTGGGTGAGAACGTCTGTTAGTTTGATGCTTGCTAAATTCATTTCAAAATCAGAAGCAATAAATGATGTTATCGTCAGCATTTCTTGAAAATCATCATTTTAATTTAAGAGCACATTAAAATCTACACTATTTACCACTTTTAGAAATTTCCTGAAAACTTTTCAGGTAGGACTACTAAATGATTGGAGTAACCGTATTTAGTATTTAAAAAGGCGTTTAAAAAGTTAGATCCATTACATTGTACTTAAAAGTATTTATTTTCAGGTAAAGTGACTGTCGGGCAAAATATTGCGACCATACATGGAAATTCTCCTGGATTAACTCCACTGGCCCTCGTCGATGTATGGTACATGGAATTATTAAATATAAATTCCTCAATACTATCACGATACGTGCCGTGAGTTTTAATTGAAATGCCTTTTTGTAAAGTATAGGTATTAAAGTATATAGGTAATTAACACTTACAACTATTTTAGTTTAAATTTTTATTATTTACCTCTGAATAAATGCATACATGTATATATATATATATTATACGTAAGATAATTACGTACATTTAAATAAAACATGTTCCAAAGGTCATAGGACTAATAAATATAAGAAAGAAGAGTTTAGTAATAACTAAAAAAGTTTATTACGGCCGACAAATTTTTGTAAATTGCAAAGGAGTGACCCAAAAGGAGCGAACCAAAGTTATCGACATAGCCCAAAGGATTTGTAAGCTGAAGTGGCGATGGGCCGGTCACATTTGTCGAAGAACCGATAACCGCTGGAGTAAACGTGTTCTAGAGTGGAGGCTGCGTCTATCTAGGCAAATGTAGTGTAGGGCGCCCTCTAGGTAGGTGGAGTGACGACATCCGTAAAGTGGCTGTTAGTGGTTGGATAATAAGAGCTGAAGATCGAGCTCAGTGGCGTGCCATTAGAGAGACCTATGTCCAGCAGTGGACAGGTAGGGAGTGATGATCGATGGTGATGAAGATTACCTAAAAATATTGTTCAATACGTTTTACCATTTAATAGTGACATTTGACATTGCAGGTCGTCGGATACGGGGCATTCCCATTACGATTACTTTACTCAACTCATGTGGGAGGAAACAAATGAAGTTGGTTGCGGTGGAGTTACATTTAAAGTATGACAAATATGTAATGTATTTTTAATACAGTTATTTTTGTAGTTTTAAGGTCGTAGGCTGCAAACAGACTGGTGTCTGTAAAGACTAAGTAGTGATAGTATTTATGAAAATTACATATCGAGGAAATGTATGCTTAATTTTATCGAAGTAAGAAAAGTATGAAAATAGTGTCGTATCTTTTTTGTTTTTATGGATAGCACTAAAGTATGCTCGACTCAGGAATCGAACCTTATTCAGAAATCGTGCTTATGACCACTCGATCATGAGACAGTTAAATGCAAAAAAAAGTTTCACATACAAAGGTATGTATAGACAGGGTATGCGCTGACTTAGGTGATAGGTGGCCGGAGATCTGGCTCGAAGCAGGCGTAAGAACGGGGTGGTTTTTAGTCAGTAAGAGTCTTACACTCCCCCTCTCGAGTCACCCAAGGCGGGAGACGTCATTGGATGAGTTCCCCCCTCAAAAACGTTGGATAACTTTATCTTACCTCATTTTTGTTTCTAAACAGGAACGTCTTGAAGATGCAAGTACGAAATACAGGATAATATACAGACTGGTATGCAACTTTGCACCAGCAGGTAATTTTCGAAATAGATCAGTTTATTCTACCGGTGTACCTTGCTCTAGATGTCCTTTCGATGGTATTTGCGATCCAATACACAAAGCGTTATGCTGTGAGTATACGTTTGTTAATGTAATATACATAATTTAGAAACTACAATAAAATCACTACCTACTTTTTTCAGATAATAATCCCGCAGTTGTAAATAAAGATGATAGTGTAGTTTCCACTGATTCCGACATCTTAATGGGACATGCAACTCAACAAATTGAAATATTCAAAAAAACTAATGTTATAGATACTGTAACGGAATATAGTAGCGATAGTACAGAATTTACCGAAAAATCTACTTCTGTCAATGCAGTACCAAAGGAAACATTTACGCCATTTGATTATTTCTCTCATTTGTATGATTATAGAAGACATATGATCACTTCATGCACAAAACATAATTTGTGTAAAGATGTGATTATGGATGATTTCGTGGAATTATTGAAGAAAAAATTAAGCAACGACCCTTTACTTAAAGATTTATTAACCACTACCACATCATCAGCTTTAAGTACTTATTCAGATGGTACGTTTAGTGATATTGGCGTGGCAGCATTTGTTAATAAAGTATACAGTAAAAAAACATCCCCTAAATCAAGAAAAACTACTTCAAGTGATTGTGTGAATTCAACTTTTTTAGTTGATTTAATTGAAGCTGTAATCTTCAGAAATGGTGGTAAAGTATTTGAAAATGTGAGTGTTAATGGTTTTAAAACATCCATGATATTCATCATAAGTAATTTGGTTTCTTTCAGACAGAGTTTCGGCGTCTGAGGAGTACAATACAAATTCTCAGACTTTGCCTTCAGTTAAATCAGTTAAGGTGCAAGCTGAATTAGCGGAGGCCAAGCAAAATGATGATTTTACTGGACATTATTTTTTTCCCGAAGAAGACGAAGACAGTAACACAGAAACTACAGAAACATACTACGATGACGTTAATTTGCCTGTGTCAGACTTGGTATTGGATGATTTAAAAATGAGTACAATAACGAATGACTTTTTGGAAGATATTCTTGAATCCGATATCATAGTTGAAAGTACGACTACATTTGTTTCACTATCACCAGATAATATAAACCTCTACAAAAGTGGTCATGGTGTGATGAAAAAGTTTTTACAAAACATTGTTGATAAGCCTCGCCCGTCCCAAAATAATGAACAAATCTTTGTAGACTGATAGATATTTATTAATACTTCATTAATAGATGTGAATTTTTGCGATATTTTAGAACATGAAATCAACTTTATTAAAATTAACAAAATGCACATAAAAATAACTAAAAGTAAAGAAAAGTTTAGCTAAATATCTGGCGAAAGGAGAGGAACACTAATATTTAGAGAGGTGTTATTCCTACATGTAGTGAAGACATAGGAAAATAATTCTCCTATGTTGCCCATAAAATTCATAAAAGTCACTTTCACTACATGTATTGATAGAAAATCCAAAAAATATATAACGACTTAACAAAACTGAGATTTGCAGACGAATTAAATTGTTGGCATGACAATTCAATTACACTTCTTTCCAAATGTTTATTACTGATCATTGTAATCATAATTATGTACATTATTTAATATATTTTTACAAACATTTTGTACATTGTCAATATATATATATTTATAAATCATAAAATAATTGTTTGATATTCGTTAAATATTTGGTGATATAATTTTGAATACAACTTTGTCTAAAACAAACTGGATAATTATTATTTTGGAGAACATGGTTGTGGTAGATTTTTTTGCTTCGTTGCACGGACATTGATCACGTGACTTATCTATTTGGCTTGATCTCAAAATTTTATTTAATATTAAATGGTAAATATCACTATACGATAAGGACACTTTTGTATTTTTTTCGTCACAGCCTCTAAAATATTGAGCTCCTTCTCTCTTCCTTCTACCGTAATTGTTATTACAATCGCATTCATGTCTTTCCAAAATACTTTCTGTTGTATCACCTCCTGTACTATATAAGTTAATATCTGTGTTTATATTCACTATGGGAATGTTCGTATAAGAAAAGTCTCCAACTACATACGGCGTTTGTTTTTTTGTATCAGAATTTCGTCTACGAACATTTAGTGATCTACGCTCGCAATAATCTCCATCATCAGCATTATATCCAGGAGAACGATCTGGATTATGATGATCTGGATTATAAGAATTATCATTAGCATCAGATCCATCAGATGATGTTGTTTTTCTTATGTTACGATCCACGAATTCACGAGTACATGTATGTGTTTGCGTACATCCGTCCACAAATCCAGGAGGTGTACGTGAACCGCCGTCGCCTGGTCTATATATTGCTGTGTTTTCGTCATCTGTACCTGGGCTAAATGCTGTCCATGTACACGTCACTTTTCGAGTGCAATGTTTTACATTTATAAACTGGGTGTTTATAGTATATTCAGTTGTGGGGTCCGCGCGTCTAAAGTTATGCTGGCCTAATAATTTTGGGTTAAGTTTTCTGAGATGCATTAGTTCATCAAAAGATAAATATTTTTCTGTTTTGTTGTGCGCAGGTGGACGAGAAGTATCATCCTTAAATGAAACTGTTATTGGTTCTGTAGTTGTTATTAGTCTTGCTGGTTTCACGTTTTTTTTTGTCTTTAGATTATTTGATAATGTTGTAAATCGCAAAAGTTTCACGTCAGGACTTTCAAGTTGCCAAAAAGGTTTCACAGATACATGTTTTTTCAATTGTCGTCGTTTCCGCAAACCAGAATGAGAACCACGATCAAACGAGTGGTAAATGTAGTCGTCACTTTGTAAATTATATTTTGGGAATTCGGCAAAAGTTTTATGTATTAGATCAGAATCTTTGTTTTTCGGTACTTTTTTATTGGTTTCTATGTCATAGGTCTTAGTCTTCGGAGATAAAATTTCTAATGGCTTTTTATGATTTCCGCTCCGCACTACAACGTTAGGAATCAAGTCGTAATATTGATATGTACCAGGTTTTCTGATAGCATCAAATTCATTGTTTTGTTTACGTAAACCTGGACATATAGTTGTAAGACAGTACGATCTTGTAGTTGTAGAACAGGGAGTACTGCATGGACAATTTGTATGGTAGTTGCAATCAGTGAATGCGGGCGTGGGGCATGTCTGTTGTGTCAGCGGGCATGGAGATAGAATATATGGAAGTGGGCATGGCGGGTCTTCCATGAATTGAGAACACGATACTTCGGTACAGGTCGATGGACACATAGTTGTTTGACAGCATTCATGTGGTGCTTTTGTGCATTGATGGGGTGCACAATTATTTGGATTCCTACGGGTACATTGACCAAAATGATTAAATTTTCTATAATCTGTGCTAGAGTACGAATTCGAAGGTTCAGTTGTAAAATCATATCTTCTAAAATTTGGGTTGGTATTCATTGTGGTTGTACTCTCATAGTTATGTTGTAGTGGTTCGTGTCCATGATAAAGATGAGAGTGTCCACGATCGTACTGGTAATGATATTCGTTGTTATTTTGTGATATATTCATTAAATTATTATTTCTAAATAGTTGTTTACGGAGTTGTGGAATGCGTTTCAAGCTACCTGAAACCAATTTTTTTTTTATATTTGTTAGGCCAACGTTTGATCAATACTTCGCCTGGTGGTAAGCGATGATACGATCTACGATGGAGCACGTCGTCCCATAAGCAACCTAAAAACGTCCTAAACTACAAATCAACTATTTATATGTATAGTTGATTCGTAGTTTTAAAATATCCAGTAAGCTTTATGTGTTTAATTAATAAGAAGAATTAAATACGCCTACCATTCGTTTTGTTTGCCAAAATGTGCCTTGTTTTCTGATTTCGCTGCTTGTTGCTAGAGTTACTATTTACAATGTTTTGTCTTAGGATATTGCGGATGGGATCTATTTCATGCTTCACAGAGTCGTTTGATAAATTGAGGATCCTGAGTAAACTGTTCATCGGATGATGGTTTTGGTTCATTAATTTGGTAACTGTAACCAGGTAATATCATTCATTCGTTAAATAATCCACGATTTTCTTGAAATTCTTAAGAATTAATTAAATTAATTCAGATAATATATACATGTAGTTTACGAATAGGTACTTAACCTAAAACACCAAAGAAATATGAAAAAGTGAACATTCATTAATAGCAGAACATGACATACAATCTTTTTCGTGAGCACAGAGTCCATGATATTTGTCATCGGATTTCATATTACTTCTGCATTGAGTTCCAGGGTAGCCTATGGAATATACCGGCCTTCCATGCACGTTTCCCCTGGGTGCAAAGTTACAAACTAACCTTTCTACCATGGTATTTCTTTCATTTACCTGAAACCATTTTAATTAAGTCAATATCTGTTTATTATTTTATAATAATGTTTTTTAGTATCTATAAAAGTAGATTATTTGTTATTTACATAGAATTTTGATTTGCCACATCCAACATATTCTGTAGTAGCCCACAATAGTTGTGTTAAATGATTGGTTTTGTAGTCTTTAGATCTGAAATTTTTAAAATAGTTAAAAGTCATTAAAGACAAAAGTTACTTGCGAAATAGAAGCGTGAGTGTGTGCAGCAGTTTGTGGGCCTTGTGACCGATCAAGTGATTAATCAAAATGTACATTGAAAGAAGAAAGAAGAAGAGAAAATTGTAGGGACATAAATGAAAATAATAATAATTTATCGTCCATCTAGTAGGTGAGACGTTACTGCTATTAGTGATGATAGTGTTAACGGACTACATTGATATCATATTGGATATGTTTAAGTTATTCAATTGAATTAGGTAATTTAGTATGTCCCATGACAACCGGCGGCATTGCACCGTGAGTCCGTGAATGTGTCGCTGGTTTAATTTCCACTCGGGACAACTCATTATGTGATCCACAATTACATAGATGCTCAGGGTCTGGTTGCGATGTGTATGTAAGATTTGTCCTTGCAAACGTGCCCATGGCCCAAAAGAAAAACTTTTATGGTGCAGAAGAGAAAATTTTACAAAATATACTAAATAAAAAACGCACATTTCATGACGGATTAAAATAGAAATTTAGAATCTGTATTATTAAAAATTTGAAAGTCGAGTCGCCTAGCAAACACTGCCGTACCATCCTTTACTGGAACCATTTCACCGTATTTTCAGGCCCCTATTTGAGAACCTCTGGATAAGACTAGAAGCAGAAATTTTCATCGACCAGTAAGCTATAATCACATACTTAAATCCCAAAATTCCAACCGTACAGGTCATTTAGTTCCGAAGTTAAGCGAAAGCAAAGTTTCGCATTTATGACACTCATTCACTCACTCACTCATGATCATCAAAAACTAGTACTTCTAATAACCTCAGAGAGCTTAAATTTGGTACAGAGTTAGGGTTTCGTGGCCACATAAAGGGAAATCTATAAAAACTAGGATAATCGAAGATCTGGAGTACCTAACTGGTGATCCTGATTAGATTAAATAAACAAATTATACTAAAATATTAATTTCACTAAAAACTTGGTCAAAATATAATAATTCAATAATACGGCAAAGTCACACAAAATTAACTATAATAATAACAAAATCGCAATAAGGAACCTTAGACTTGGCATGACTTTGTTATATTTCATTACTTTTTAGAGATAAACTAGCAGCTCCATCGAGACTTGGCTAGTTTTTTACAGAATGTTTTGGTGGGATTACATTTACAATGACAGGGAAAGTCAAGAATGAATAGTAGTAATCTTTTCAACTTACTTATTGTAATATGCAACACTTCCAATATAGTCTACCACTTGCATGAACCACATCTCGACGAAACTCTTAACACTGAGGCCTGGAGAAGGACCTAAGATACTGGCAATGTTCTGACCAACATTCACATTTTCTGAAACAGGGAATGTGGTGGTTTTTAGTTAGTTAGAGTTTAAGACTCCCTCTCGCCTTAACCGAGGGGACGAAGTCATTGGATGATTTCCCTTAAAAAAAGGGAGTAAAAAGGCAGCGGTGTATAAATTCAATATTAGCATTCATTTTTAACTACGGCACTATTTACCAAGATTGGATTGGTAAGTATGTATATTGGATCACATTGAATTGAATAATTATTTTTGTGTCGAATAATCCATTTATCAATAAGAGGTGAAACTGAAACTGGAGTGGCTAGTTGTGGCTACACATATATAGGTACTTAGATGATATAGCATGAGGCCATTGTATACCTAAATCTCGACACTGATCTTCTTTGTCCGGGTACAGAGATGGATCGCATTGATCAGCCCAGCGCTGCGCTGCAGTTGCCAGTTCATTTGACCAGTACTGCGAATATTAGAACAATTATTAACAATAATTATTTATTTATTCCATACGAATTTCATCAACAACCCAGATGCAGAGTCGGACTGGGCTACACTAGGAAATGTGTACCACGATAAAATTTAAGTAAGACTTACTTAATATTTCTATGACCTGCAAAATTGCCAGCAAGATGCAATTATACCTATAGCAAGTTACAGGCTTCTTCATAAAACTAAAAGTTTATAATTACGTTGTTGAATATACGAAGTACCTACACTTCGTATATTAAACTGAAACATTGATTCTAGGTCACCGTACACCTAACAAGCGCAGCTCCGGCTCCAACCTAGCAATGTTATGGTCATTTTAATATGAACTTTAAATCGTATGACATATTTCATAACGTCAAAATAAAAAAGCTGTAAACAGGCTGACGACGCGCTTACTATGTTTTTGTATTGTTTCCAAGGCATAAAACGCCGTGCCGGAGTCGTGCTTCAGCCGTACCAGAGCCGAGCCGGAGCAGTGCCAATGACCTTTAAGATGAGTAGAACAAAAAAAGCACTTACAGTTCGCGAATCTTATGGAATAAAATGATAAGTTACAAGTTTTAATGCCTTGTGATTTTACTTACAATTTTTTTCATATTGGCAGCGAGTGGAAGTATTTTTGAGTGTCCCATAGCAACGAAGTTTCTCCTTTCATTTATATTGTTAACTAATTCAAATTTATTCTGATTTGTTAGTAGTGCCGACTGGTCGTAGGATATGCATGAAGGACCGGGTCCATGTATCTGTAAAGCAATAACTAATACAATTACAATACGCCTGTGTAACAACTAACATGTCACAAATAAAATGTACCTTGAACTTGCAAAGCGTATGATTGAGACATATCTCACAGAAGTCTGTCGAAATCGCACTAAAACCATTGAAACAACAAATGAATACAATTAATTTAACAATTATCATAATAAATTAATAACAACAATACATAAATATATTATTCCAACGTTTAAACATGGCTGTCGTGGCCATATGGATATCGTGAGCTGTTAAAACCGTCCTGTCTGATGTCAGTAATTAAGATGGTGTATTTTGTAACAACTGGTTATGTTTTTTGTGTTTCTAATTTTATTGTTCACTATTTATGTTTCAGAAACAAATAATTTCGTCCTAAAAAAGGACAATTTGGGTGGTTCCTATAATGTTTACCACTATAGCAAAGATCTACTTTTCCAAGGTAATAAATTACTCCAAATTCTTATATTTAGGGTTTATTTTCACTTTCATAAAGTGGCCGTCTACAAATAACTAAATTTAACGTACTTCTTATTGCAGATGATAAAAACGTCTTATCGAGTTTACCAACACCGAAATTAATTATTCCCAAAACACATAAAGTTATAAACAGAATAAAATCAAATCCAGCACAGAACAAATTTGTTAAAAATGAACCTGAAGAAGTTATAATAAAGAGACATATTCAAGGTAAAGATTTACCATACACGTTTCCCTTTTTTAAAAGTACCAAAAGCACTTCAACTTCCACAATAGAACAGAAGAGAAAATTGCCAGTTGTGGAATTAGCTTCATATTCAGATTCAGACAATCTAAATGAGTATTTACAATATTTTGATGAACTAGAAAAAAAACCCTTTCCATTTTTCAATGGTATTAAAAAGACACATGAAAGCAAAGATATACTTCAAAATTTTGAAAATTGGTACAAACAAAATAACCATTCAAAGCATTCAAAAGATAAGGTTTTAGATTTGAGAAGCTTACCATCTAAAAGTTGTCAAAGTTGTGAGCAATGTGTCTGCCCGAATATGAAGAAGTCGGGAAAGGTTCCGACAATAAGTAACGTCCATGATTGTACAAGAAGACCTGACACGATTTCTACGTTTAATTTCTATCCACCTTATCCTCAACCACCGACAATTAGACAAGTGCCACCAGGTCCTAAAGATGTAAGCATCAATTTTCCGATGGGAATTGGTGTTCCAATGGGTATCCCATTCGGTATGCCAGCTGGTTATCCAGGAGGTATACCGGTGGGTGTTCCAGCAAATGTTCCCATTGCTTATGCGCCAGGTGTAGCGCAAACCTGTTGCCAACAAAACTATTTTAAAGAAGTAGCAACGCACAATAAGCCTTGTCGGCACTCCAACGATCATTTATATTACAATGATGACGATGAATCTGTGAAAATTTATAGAGACAGCAATGATGACTATAATAAGAGGAAACGCAAACATAAGGGCGAACTTTTTGTTAATATAGACTACGATGTTGAAGAAACCAAAAAACCCAATCAGAATCCTTTGGGTCGAAATAATCCGAATACATTAGCGAAGGATATTTTTAAAGACTTAAACCAATCATATACCAACACAATTATGAAAAAATGTTTCTGTTGTTCCTCGACTATTTCAGATATTAATAATTTTCTATTGTCAATATTGGTTATTATTTTGTTTTCAAATACACTAATGCTACATTAATGAAATATATGAATAAGTCTGAATTTTTCTTTTGAATGTGTTGTTGTTGCAATTCATTAAGTTTTATATCATGAAAATACTTACTTGTTATTTGTAAAGTGAGTATTTCGATGGTTATTACAAAACTACCTTTATATTCGTAAGGAGACATCTCACCATGGCTTGGTAGATATGTATATCTACTTCTTGTTAGAGTTCTAGTCTAGCTTCATAGAATATCTTTGTATAACTGGCACGTTTAGTTTATTTATAACATTTTTAAATAATTGAGATTTTATAGATTTTTTATTTACTTTGGTACTTATATTAGGGAATGGTTCCATCAAATAAAATTTTATTATGAAAAGCGCTTAGTCGAACGAAGAACTCCTCCACAGAAGCATCGTAGCGTGAAATGGAATGGGTTATTCTGAACAAAATGTTTTGTGTCTGACCTATTTCATTAAATAATACCTACGAATGATTTTTTGTACAGTACGACTCAGTTAGTAGAAATGGTGGATAATCCTAATGCTACCATATCATAACCCTATTTTTCTAGCACAACTTTTATGGGTCTATTTGTAATTCATTTAAATGCTAGCTTTTTTCTTTTTATTTTTATATTTGATGGGTCGACGTTTGAACACTATCTTGCCTTGTGGTAAGCGATGATGCGGTCTACGATGGATCACGCCGTCCCCTAAGCAACCTATCCACTCGGGCCTTGAAGACACCCTTAAGGTAATACAGATTCCGGCAAAGAATTCCATTTTTTAGCAGTACGCACTAGGAAGCTTGATACGAAGCGCTTCGTGCGTGTGGGTGGGACATCTACCACGAATCGGTGACGCTTCGCCGATTGTCTTGTGGTACGATTATGGAAAAGACTAGAGGGAATCTAGTTGTGCAATTCCCCCGCACACTCACCGAAATGTATCCGGTAGAAAACAGAAGGGCTTGCAACCTTACGCCTGTGTCCGAGGCTTTGAAGTCGGGCGTTCACAAGCGCATCATCGCTTATTTGGTTTTTTCCTATTGTCAATAAATCTATCCCATAGATTAAATAATACAGATGAGCAGAACGTCAATTATAATAGAATTTATTAATACCTACCCAGATTGGTATAATTTATGTAGACATTTATAGGTATCGCTTATCTAACAACAACCAAGCTAAGTACGTGAATCATAGCTATCTTACTATTTGCCCTTAAATGTTTATTTTAATGTACATATTTACACAGATTTGTAAATATTTTTCAAAGAATATCTATACATATAAATAAACTGTAAAAGTGTAATTATAAAATATAAAAAATAGCCCTAGTGTGTGTTACTAGAGAGACACTGAATCCAAAAATGTGATTAGATTTTATTTCGTCTGTCTATCTGTGTGTCCACGCATCACGCAAAAATACCGGCCGTATCACAATGAAACGTGGTATGTTTATACTTTAATATCCTGGGCATCACAGTGGGGGGTAAGTACTTTTTAATATATACATTATCCCACAGTTACTATACCAAATGCAAATATTAGTTTGTCGAATGTTATGTTGCCCGTTGTGGTCCTTACGCTGTAACCGATGGTCCAAATTAGCTCGAACCGCTATTATAAATGGGAAAAATTTGTGAGTTTTCACTTGAAAGAGTAACAAACAAACACATATACACACATACATCTTCACAAACTTTCGCATTTATAATATTAGTAGGAAACGTAATCTACGAAAAAAATGTACTACATGTTATAATATTACTAGAAGTACCTACTTAGAATTTTACATAGCGCATAGCGCCTAATGTCAATGAAATGTTGCAAATTAGCGGCATTTAATTTTTTATGCGGGTAACAACATAGACGTCATAATGTTTTTGAAATCGAGACCTCTTTAGATAATTTCAGTTTAGGATTAATTTGACCCAGTTTCACCCCAAAGACACAGATCTGCTGCGGGTTCACCGCTAAAAAACTGCCGTAGGTCGCTGTCTCTGACGACATAACTTTCAAAAATTCAAAAAAAGAATGTAGGTATGCTTTCTTAAAAGATCGGCAACGCACTTGTGACTAGTGTGTTCAGCCAGATAGTCACTAAAACAAATTAAAATAAAAGTAATTGCTTCTGAACAATTTACTTAGACTGGTGTTCAATATAAAATTAACACATCATAAAGGACACCGATAATGCAATTACCTAAGATGCTTCTCTTGCCATCAAATCGAAATCGATACACATAACCTTAGTTGACCCTTTTCGAAGTAAGTTTGTACAGTATATGATTTACTTATGGCAGCAGAAATTCGACGAACAAAACAAATGACACTAGACTACAGAAGTACCCTAAAAATAGAAATTCATTACTCATTTCGATGATGATTAATGTACATTGAAGTGATGTAGATTTTTGATGCTTTTTATTTTTGTCTGATTCGAGCTAGACAGTTTAACAGATTAAACAATTTATCGGAATGAAACAACGGTTTTGCTCATTCATTTATTTTTAAGTGTACTTATTTCAGTTCATGTAAACAATTTTTTTTTGGCTTTCCGTATCGAATGATTTCAATTTCGTATTTGAAGACTAGGTATATCTGTGGTACCTATATGAGAGGCGTTCGTAAGAACATACTTATTATGGCTTTATAATAATAGTGCCATGTCATATTAAGTGTTAATAATATTAGTTTCGAAATTCAATTTTTTGTCAAATGATTTAAATTATAATCTATACTTATTTCTATATTTCTATACTAATATTATAAAGAGGAAAGATTTGTACCTATTTTTGTATGTTTTTAATGAATAGGCTCAAATAGAACAGAGCCGATTTAAAAAAAAAATTCACCAATAGAATGCCACATTGTTCCAATTTGACATAGGCTACATTTAATTTTGAAAAAAATTAGTGATCCTTGGTAAAATTTGAACAATGTAACCGAAGGTGTAGAAAAATGAGTCTTAAAATGTCTTTCGTCGAATGCGCTGCCGAAACTATTAGCGATAGAACAAAATAATGTACAACAATATTGAAGAACATCATACTGTCTGCAAAAAACTCCGCGGTAGCATATGTCCAACTATTGTAGTTATGTCACTACAACAATCCAAATTTCCAAAAATAAATAATTGTCTACCCCGTGCGAAGCCGGGACGGGCTGCTAGTTTATGCATAAAGCGTAAGAGATATATTTATTGAATTTGAAAATGTAACAATTAAAGGAAAAAACTCTAAACCATAATCACAATACTGACATTGCTGGTAGACATCCGGCGTGTAAGTAGACACAAATAAGTTTTCCAGTACATTAAACAAACCGTTCAATGACTTCATTAATTACTTTGAAAATGATGCAGCAACAATGCTATTAACTTTCTAATTCAGATGACGTCATTGAATCGTGAATAGCATATTCCCAAAACGTTTTCGACTTGTAGTATGTCTACATTGACGGTTTGTTTGCGAACACCCGAGGTCGACGCCGTCTGTCGTCGCGCCCCGCGCCGCTGGCGCCGCTCTCTCTGGTCGTTACATCCATTTATGATACAGCACCACTCACCTTTGCTTCTTTTTAAATTTTTTAAATAACAAATGTTTATTCAAAAACTTTAATGCATTAAAATCAAAATTATTTTGTTTAAATTTTCTATTATACTTCATCAAATTTACTTAGCTATGTCTCGAGAAAGCTTAGAGAATTTATTGAACTTTTAATATTGGCTAAAAGTAATATATCGATGTAGTTTTTTTCTTGAAAATACAATTACTGATAGCCTTTTGTCTCAATAAAATCTGGTTGTTCAAAATTTCTTCGGTAAGTAGGTATATTCGGAATTTCAAAATCACATTATATGTTCTGTGGTCTGGTCTAAATAGATTCACTTACTAAATTATTTCGCTTAGTTATAAAAAGCTCCTTCTACAAATGGATTTTGGTTTCAGATTAAAAATATATTTATATTGTAATATATGTAATAGCATATAGCATAAATTCCCTTTAATATTATTTACCTACGTGACTACGTGTCATAAGCTATCTTTATATTGTTGAATTCAGTGTAGGTAATTTATATGATACGGTTTACTCAAACACATTCTTGTTGATCTTGGTCAAACCTAGGATTTCTAATATGCCACTGTTTAGTTGCATGTGTTGTGTACTTGTACTGTACCTACCTAATCACGGTTTATGGACCATAAATTATCAAAACCATTTATTAAGAATTTGAACACAACAAGTTGCTGTTTCGATCAAAAATTCGAGGGAACACCCAACTTGTCAACGCCTGTCGATTGTGTACTATCCTGTAACTTTATAGAAATGTAGACGATAGGTCTGTTATGTCACAACTTTTTTTCTTTTAAGTAGGGAAAATCATCGAATTACTGCTCCCGCCTGGGTGAGGCGGGAGGGAGTGTTCAAACTCTTACTAACTAAAAACCACCCCGTTCCTTCTCCTGCACGTGGAGCCGGACCCCGGTAATCAATTAGGTTCTCCGCGACGTTATGTCACAACTATCATTAAGATAAATGTAATGAAGTATTCCTAGAACTAAAAATTTAGAAGTACCTTCTAAAAACTCGTGATATTCTCTTTTGTGTATGTATAATAAATATAATAATGATATCAACATCACAACAACGTCAACATTAACCGCCTATAAGGGCTCACTGCTGAGCAAAAGCCCCTTTTCACACGGAAAATTTTTGAGCATTAATCACTACGCTTACTTAATTAAATGCGGTTTGGCGATTTCAGACTTTAATTACAAATTAGTGCCACTTTTCTAATGATGCTTTCCTTCACCGTTTGTCAGTGGTGTCTAAATAATCTTAGAAAGTACATATGACTCGGAAAAAGTTACATTGGTGTTTGCCGTTGATAGGTTTCGAATCCGTAGATTCATGTATGAGAAATGGGCGTCTTATACCTCCAGATCAACACGACATTGATATACCCTTGAGATATTAAACAACCCTAGTGTATCGTTTCACAATTGCGTTGTTCACGACTAGT